TTTCTACCTTAGTTTACATTTTATTTGCAAACCTGCTCAAATGGAGGCCTTAGTAGCTCTTCTCTTGGTTTTCTTGACTTTCTTAATTCTCTTGAGAAGAAAAAAAATCTGTTATTGTCCAACACCATATATGTGTTTCTCTTCCATCCATTCCATCAGAGACTCAGGAGTTTCAAATTTTTCTGTCTTCTCTTGCCATATTATCCTGAGAGATTTAGGGAATCCCCATATATATTTCACTCCTCTCAATCTCAAGACGAACAGCTGCTGACTGAATCCTCTTCGCCATTTCCTTGTATAAAATGACTAGTCTGGAAAGATCAATAATTCCTTAAAGGAACACTATAGTCACCTAAATTACTTTAGCTAAATAAAGCAGTTTTAGTGTATAGATCATTCCCCTGCAATTTCACTGCTCAATTCACTGTCATTTAGGAGTTAAATCACTTTGTTTCTGTTTATGCAGCCACACCTCCCCTGGCTATGATTGACAGAGCCTGCATGAAAAAAAAACTGGTTTCACTTTCAAACAGATGTAATTTACCTTACATAATTGTGTCTCAATCTCTAAATTGAACTTTAATCACATACAGGAGGCTCTTGCAGGGTCTAGCAAGCTATTAACATATCAGGGGATAAGAAAATCTTAATTAAACAGAACTTCCAATAAAGAAAGCCTAAATAGGGCTCTCTTTACAGGAAGTGTTTATGGAAGGCTGTGCAAGTCATAAGCAGGGAGGTGTGACTAGGGTTCATAAACAAAGGGATTTAACTCCTAAATGGCAGAGGATTGAGCAGTGAGGCTGCAGGGGCATGTACACCAAAACTGCTTCATTAAGCGAAAGTTGTTCAGGTGACTATAGTGTCCCTTTAAATCTATCTTCCAAAGCAGGTTTATTTTTTTAGAGACAACATGATCTTGTTTTAAGATAGGAGGATTGGAATTTAACTATTACATCTCTGGGTAAAGATTTTGCTATATTTTGGGGTCTTGGGAGCCTATGGGCTCTGTCTAGTTCAGAGTCTTTTAATCCTATTTTAGATAGCAATGACTCAAAATATTCTATTAGAATTTTTTTCAGCATTTTGTCATTGATAGTTTCAGGAATGTTATGGATCCTTATATTGGATCTTCTATGTCATTTAGCGGTCTAGCGGTCTTCTATGTCATTTAATTTACCTTCTAATTGTTCCACCTTCAGCTGCAGAGCCGAAAAAGTTGTTTGAATTTGATTATATTTTAGTTCTGCTTGCATAATTTTTGACTCTATTGATCCTAACGTTTCCTTCATGCTTTGTATTTCGTATTTTAATTCTGTCGATACCTTCTAAATATATCTTCTTTTATACTCTTTAAAAATTTATCTAGATAGTCTGTCAAGATTTCCTCAGTTAGGAGGTTACTTTCTTGCACTTCCTGAGGGGGATTGACTTTAGTAGGAGTTAGGGTTTCACGGATTTCCATATTCGCTTGGGATTTATTTTGGGAGGGGGAAAAATAGCCTGAAAGCCTTTTCTCTGGTATGCTGTCTTTTTTTTCCTTTTTCCTCTTGTCATCCTGTGCTTTTTTTATTTTTATTTTTTTTATTTCTTTCTTTTATTGAGGTATAGACTTTACGGGTACAGAAAAAAGAGAGGGAGACAATAAAAGTCATACAGGATGGGGTATCACAGTTTACCATACAACATCTCCGAAACTTGACAGCCTCTTTTTTTATTTTTAAATAATGTGTAGTAAAGGCATTATGTAGCGTTAGGTGCCTGCCTGCTTGTGTCAAGGTATAACTTGTAGTTGGTATCAAGGCACCTTTGAATGTGCTAGTGTTGAGCGTGGGGCCTTAGTTGGGTGAGCTAGGGAAGGTATGTGTGTCTCAGCTGGGTATGGTCATCTAAGTCGCTAGCTGAGAGTGCAGCAGGTAGTGTGCTGTATGTTTCGAGCTGTGTAACGCACTCTGGTTGTTAGGAGGAGGGGGTAAAAATGGCTCAATACGTATGATTATTATGAAGGCTTACGGAGCCAGTATTGTGCGGATTTGGGAAGAGCATGATATTAAGTAGCAGTATTGGTGGAAAGAAAAGGGAGAATAAAAACAGAAATAAAAAACAATAACCAACAGCATCAGTATTGGGTATAACCAAGAACAAACGTGGAACGAATCAGGTATGTCCCTTATCAGGCGCAACAGGTTAAGGGCGTGTGGGCCCTGCTCTGCTGCTGCTTCAGGTTGGTAGGGCAGAGGTTTTCTGAGCCTCTCTTCTAGGCACGAAGGGGGTGATCTCCGCTACAGTCCATGTTGGATGGGTCAACTGCTGTGTCGTTAGCGCTGGAAGGCCGAGTGCCTGCAGGAAGGCTGGTATATCAGATGCGTGAGACAGCTTATGTGTTTCGCCCGCCTTTTCTGCCTGTAGTCGGCGTGGGCCCCATTTGTAGGGGATGGCTTGTTCCCGGAGTAGCTGGGTAACTGGGTGAAAGGACTTCCTCCACATCATGGTGTGTCTGGAGAAGTCTTTGTAGAACGTTAGTTGTGCCCCTTCAAACGCCACCGTGGGGGAGCCTCTTGAAGCCCCCATAATCATGCCCCTGTCAGAGTCCCGCATAAATTTAATCAGTACGTCACCAGCTCCTTCGCGTGGTATGGCGGCCGCCCTGGTGAGTCTAAAACAAGAGTCTATCGTGATCAACTTAGCTTGTCTTGGCGTAAGTAAAGTAGCTATCAGCCGTCGGCAATAGTGCGGCAATTCCGAGCCGGTGAGTGTCTCCGGCACTCCACGAACCCGCAGGTTTCTTGCCTTGTACCGGTCTTCCATGCCAGCCAGTTGGGTTTGTTGGTCTGCGTATTGCTTGCGGAGTAAGTTCAGCGCTGCGTCCGTGGCACTTTGCGCCAGTTTAGTGTCCCTCAGGCCCTCTTCCACATTTGCCACTTTATTGGTGAGTGTGGCTACGTCTGCCCTTACTAGCGCCATGTCTGCTTGGAACATAGCCTGAATGTCCTTCACCAAAGCTTTGATATCCGCCTTGGTGGCTGGAGCAGCGTCCCCCATGTCTACGGGTCTCTGTGGCAGTTGTTGCATGCGGGGCGGCAGTGCAGTCTCTGCATAGTAGCTATCCTCGTCCGAGGATTGTGAGGCATAGATCTCGGGCGCCATCTTGGCTTCAGCAGGCCGCGATGCGGCTCGGAGAAAAGCCCCTATATCTCCGGATCCCATGCCCGGATCCGCCCTCTGCTTCTTGTTCTTCTTCCCCATATTGTCGGTAAGCTGTGAGTCGGTTTAGGTGCCCGGTGTGTGCGGGGATTATGGCTCCGAGCGAGTTAATTGAGCGTGTCGCACGGAGCTGTCTGAGGATGCGGCCGGTTAGCTCGGGTGCTGGCTCCGCCCCCCATCCTGTGCTTTTTTTGATGCCATATTGAAATAATAAATTTCCTTTTCTTTCTTTTTTCTTTTCTTTTTCCTTCCTTTAATTATCCTCCTCTCTCTTCCCCTTTTTGCCCTTTCTTTTTTCTTCCCCCTTTTTTTTATCCCCTTTTCCTTTCCTTTTCTTTTTTTCCCTCAACCTGCTTTTAGCTCTTCCGGCCCTTAGCATCAATTATCCTGTAGGGATTAAAGAGTTTTGCTGGTCTATTTCGGCATATCAAAGGCGCTCCAACTTATAAACCTGCTAAGATTTTTCAACTTATAACAGGTTATTTCTTTGTTTGGGGGTATTATATCTGGAATTTATTTTATTACTCCCCCTTTTAACCGTTTATATTCTCTCATCAGTCAGGGTAAAAAAACATTAATTTATCTTTTTTTTTTTTATGCTTGCAGGTGTCTCTCCGCCTTTCCACGCCTCTCTCTCTTTTCTTTTGCAATCCCCCTCTGTTGAGTCAAACCTCTGTATCCCACCGTCCTTTCGTATTTTCCCCTCTTGTCCTTTTCTCCTGTCCTCTATCTTCCTGTAATTTCCAGCCGCCTTGCACCCCCGTCGGAGTAGATTATCGTGTCGGCGTCTCCTCGTGCAGCTTAACTTTCTGCCGGCCACCACTCCGCCATATCGCCCCTCCTCTTATGTCGACATACTTGTGCGCTTACGTCACTTTTCGATATATATTCTTTTGCGTCCTTATACCAGAAGCTCCGTACACAGTGAGAAGTAGTGGTTTCCAAAGCGGAGATGTTCTGTCCCAAAAGTGGGAGACATCAGGGGAATGGAGATGAGGTTATATAAAACAACATCCCTTATGTCCCATTGCCATTTTATATATTTCAGGAACAAATATATTCTGCTGCCTCCATACAGTTCCATGAATAAAGATTTTTAATGTTTAGTTGGTATAGAGCCCCATTGCTGCTTCCTACATTGGTTATGGTGGAGGTGGGGTTTACATGACACAAAAGGGGGAGTAAGAGACACAAGAGAGAAAAAAGGGGATAATATTCACCAAACTGGGTAAGATACACTAAAGGGGGGTAAACCATTCAAAAGGGGGCATAACGACACAAAAACGGAATCAATAATATCAAAAGTGTGATACAGTTCTCAAAAGGGGGAAATAAGGCACAAAAATGGGGTAAGTTACACAAGTGTGGTAAAAAGTTGGGTAAAAGGGGCAAATAGGATTAGATTATTGGCAGATGTATATTGGACACTGTTACATGTAAATAGTTCAGACAGCTCAGATGTACACTATACAGTAATCAAATTGGCAAGAACAAATACCTGCACAATTTCATATGAGGCATCAAAATAATCAAACAATATTATGGATGTTTAAAATCACTCTGTTTAGGCACTTGTACTGCAGATCCACCTAATGTCCTGCTATTCCCTGAGTCAGTCTGGAAATGGGAATTGTGCACAAGCTGACAAGAGTTTTACACATTGCAGAACTAATTGCACAATTACAAAATTCTCCAACTAGCCTATTTTATTTATGTATTTTAATGTTTGACATTTTAGGCTATAGGAAACAACAATATTGTCACCTGTCCCCACTCCCTGGTTTACTGAATGTCTCTTACAGATTTATGATCAGGTGTACATTGAACCCTTTCCCCCTCTGTCTCTTGGCACAATTTGCCTGTTCTCCCGCGGGGCGCCCACCAGATGGCGCTGTAACACATTTGCAGATTACGCTACCGGGGGTCCTGTCTTTCCCCTTCGCTTGTCGTTGGTTTCGGGCCTTGGGAGGGCTGTGGGCTCCATGATGATTCGAGTTGTGACCTCGGCTGGGGAGTGCTGACCGAGACCAGGGGATTCTTCCTATCTCCCTCCGGGTTAGCAGCCGATCAGGTGAGAGCTCGTTCTGCCCTGTTTGTATTGGGGTAAGTGGAGTGCTGGGTTTCATCCTCTCGGTTATATTCACAGACTGCCTTCCATACCGCTCCTATCACGGGGAGCAGCTTATTATGAACACTCTGATAGCCAGCATTTGGAACTGCACTTCCACAGCCTTTTCTTTGATGTTCAGCCAGTCCTGTTGCTGGCTGAGCATCATGGGAAACGTAGTCCCTAAACCCTTGGAGTGGCATGGTTTTTCTATTATTTCTTTATATTCAGATATTTCGATGTCGTTGTATTGTTGCCGGCTTGTTAGACACTGTATGTAAGTTATGACACAGTAAATGTTAAAAGTCATATTTTCTTTTTTTTATTACTCTAGGTAATTATATAAATATATATATATATATATATTTTAAGTTAAAGGGATCCTATAGTGCCAGGAAAACAAACCCCGTTTTTCCTGGCCCTATAGGCTCTAGGAGTGCCCCCTCCCTCAGGGCCCCTCCTCCCTCGGCGCTGAAGGGGTTAAAACCCTTTCAGTCACTTGCCTTAATCCAGCGTCGGGCTCCCTTGGCGCTGGTGACCTCTCCTCCCCTGCCGACTTCAGCCCCCGAGTGGAGCCGCATGCGCGGCCAGAGGCACGCGCGCATTAAAACCCGCCCATAGTAAATCATTACTCATTGCTTTCCTATGGGGATCTTTTTTGACGCTGGAGGTCCGTGAGGAATGTTTAAATAAAAAAGTTTTCAGGAATGGTAAGTCTGCTAAACAATGTATCAGAGTACTTAAGTAACCGTTATAATAATTTCCACATCAATATGCAAAAACCGGGTATTCAAAGGAGAGTTCAATTTTATATATATATATATATATCTCAGCAAGTTAAGAGGAAAATGATGACATCAGTCCTTAGTACATATATAAAAAAAACAAAATCAAACGGAGCAGTCCCAAAGAGTCTTTTAAACTGTATGCTCCTATCTGTACACGGCTGAAATCCCTTCTATTGAAACAGCAGGAAAAACTAGCCGAAGGGGAGCAGATAACACTCTAGTAACACACTACAAATATCTATTAATAGTATGGTAAATATAGATATTATAATCCACTGTGATTAATCCAATAATGTTCACTGTAAAAATGACGATGCAGAAATGTGTAGTTAACATTTCTACATACAAGTCCAATTTAAAACCGCCAATGCTTTCCGTCCAACATCTGCCGTTGGTCTTTATAGTATAAAGTGCAGAAGCATTTCGTTCGTAAAATTTTTTTTTATTTTATAAAATATGTACGATAAAATCAATCAATGAAAATCATTCACAAGAAGCACAAAAGTGTGGGAACCTTTATCCGGAGTCTCACCCCCAGCAGCCTGGATACTCTGCTGTTGCTGACTTACAGGAGCCGGCTTGAAGGCAGCTGCAGAGTCCTGTGTGTTGAATGACTGAAGGGGAGATTCGCTGCGTGCGTTCCACTTTGGTCCACTTTGCGTTCTTATGTATATCGATGTATCGTGTAGCGTTTCGTGATGATAGATTATAATTTACATAAAAACATTAGTGATAAAATTTGTTAGTTACGTCTAAAACTAGCTATGACAATAATAAAAGATAGATAAATTGATGAAGACTTTCTTAAAAAGGATGATGCTGAATGAAATCACTGATCAAGAAAAAGGTAAACAAGGATCCTCTTCTAAAAAAAGACCCACAGATACTAGATCAAAAATCCACAAATTGGGCAGTTTATTAGAACAAGAGACCCAAATATGGTGGGATTTTATTAACTTTGAATTGTATGTGGCTAACAATATAGTACAAAGATGCTTAAGATTACAAAAAACAAGGATGAGAATATGTTGTCTAAATGGGACCAACTTCTTGATAAAGGTTCCCTACTACTCATTATTTTTTTTGATTAAGGAAAAGGAGGAGGAATTGGAACAAATAGAAATTGAAAAACTCAGATTAGAAATGCTTCTTGTGAATGATTTTCATTGATTGATTTTATCGTACATATTTTATAAAATAAAATCTTTTTTATGAATGAAATGCTTCTGCACTTTATACTATAAAGACCAACAGCGGATGTTGGACGGAAAGCATTTCTGGTTATAAATTGGACTTGTATGTAGAAATGTTAACTACACATTTCTGCATCGTCATTTTTACAGTGAACATTATTTTTCACACAGTGGATTATATTATCTATAATGTACCATACTATTAATAGATATTTGTAGTGTGTTACTAGAGTATTTGCTCCCATCGGCTTTTTTTTCCTGCTGCTTCAATAGAAGGGATTTCAGCCGAATACAGACAGGAGCGTACAGTTTAAAAGACTCTTTGGGACTGCTCCGTTTGATTTTTTTATATATATATATATATATATATATATATATATATATATATATATACACACACACACTAAGGACTGATGTCATCATTTTCCTCTTCACTTGCTGATATATGATTGAACTCTCCTTTGAATGCCTGTTTTTTGCACATTGAAGTTGAAATTGTTATTATTATAACTGTTACATAAGTACTGTGATACATTGTTTAGCAGACTTACCATTCCTGCAAACTTTTTTATTTAAGCATTGGGGTTTTAATTATACTCACTCAAATATTGCAAGTGTTAGTAAATATCTCCTGGTTGCAGCAATTCATTTTTTTTTTTTCTTTTTGATACTTTTATTTTCTGTTATCCATTTCAGCCTAAGGTGTGGGTTGTTTTACTGGGATTTGAGGAGTTACACACTTATTCTGAGACCATTACTTACACCTTCCTACCTATCCGAAAGGAATTATTTCCTTTTTGGTGATTTTTTTTTATTTTATTTTAAAACTAGGGTGACCTGGCACCCAGACCACTTCATTGAGCTGAAGTGGTTTGGGTGCCTATAGTGGTCCTTAAAGGTCAATATACATTCTACAAATTAAGCATAGCACGTATTTTGCTATATCATGCAGTGTAGCTGACACAAAATGTATTTTCTAGCGGGGGGTGGGGGGGGGGCAATATGTATATTTCTCTTGCAAAACTGAAGGACCTATGTTGCTTTATTAGGAGCAAAGATCCTATAGATCCACTTTCTAGGAGCAAGGCTACTGGAGACCTACTTTCTGGCCACCCATAGATTCTTTAACCAACATTCATCAACTTCACAGGTATGTCCATGACAGTACAGGCATGTGTTTGCTATATTGGCATCCTCACTGAAGTCACTATACCAGTGTTGGCGTTTCCACTAGTTTTGCATTAGTTCTGATGGATTATAGGATATGGCATGATCTCATGCAATACGCAAAGATGTCATTGGCACTTTGTTCGTAAGCTTAAAACTATTAGACCCTATGTTATACATGTATGTGTGTGTGTGAGATTTCAATAGCGACAATAGTAGATATTAAAATATGTATGTTTCCTTAACTATCCACCCTGCCATCTCCACCCAAGCTGGTGTGTCACCTTCACCGGTCTTGGCAAAATATCTTGAGATAAGTGATCATTGTCCGTGTGCCTTTTTGCAGCTTAACGTATTGCTATATGTAAAATGTGGACAAAACAGCAACCCTAGAGCCCACGTAATCATTTTAGGACCCTATGAGATTTAAATTCCTGTATACACCATAAATAAACAGCTTGGGTGAATAAGAATCTTTATTATATAGTATCCAAAAATGAAAATGTACAAAAAGTAGAAATAACAGTAAATCTAAAAGCAGCAAAAAGGCACGCGAAACAAAAGAAGCACTAAAAAGTCCTGTAATAAGGCACTACAATATCAACAAAAGTTTTTTTTGTTTTTTTTTATAGTTCCTTTTTGCCGTACTTTTTAGTGCTGGTTTTGTGTCGCAAGCCCTTTTAGGGTGAATTGATCTTTCCATCACCCGCATTTAGTCTAGAAATTTTTTTATCCGAGTTAGCTATCTAAAGTTTATTCCTTGTTGCAAGTAAAGACTCTGGGGTGCAAAATGCATTAAGCTTTAAAGGAAAACTACAGGAAAGATTCACCTAATCCACAATAAAGTGGATGAGGTAAAAACTGGAAAAATGTAATCAGTATCCTGGGGTAAATGGGATCACAGTCTACTCTTCATGCACCAATACATACACAAACCACATATATCCCCAGTGCAAGTGAAATATTGTACTGCACCAAAACGTGAGTCAGGCGTTTTGTTTGGAGTGTGTTTAGGGCACTTATTACCATGCACTGTAGGATTTCTATCTGATTTATAGACATGCCTCACTCTCACTAGTTTTTTTAGTTTTTTTTATTTGATTGTTCACTCCTTTATTCTTTTACTCCTCTACCTATCCAGTCAGTTTAACAGGGAGAGAGGCTTTACTACACTTCACTTATGGTCTAACCTTGAGTCAATCTCTGTTACTTAACACTGAGACCATGGTTTAACCCCTTGTCTACCTGGGTACACTGGTATACTTTCCATTGCAATATTTACCTACCAAGGGCTAACAAAGGTACTATTAACTTGCTGCTTTATTCGGACAGAACTATGATTTAACCTCTAGTTAATCCCTGTTTTTTTTTAACACTAGTACTATGGTTTAACCCTTTGTCTACCTTGGTACACTGGCTTATTTTCCAGTGCACTACTTACCTACAAAGGGTTATCATAAGTGCTATAAATAAGCCTAATTAATAAAGCTTGTATATTAATATTTTAAGCACCTGTCTGGATAATCCAATGGTTATCCATTTTCTATACTAGGTAGAGGAGTAGCCTTACACGGCTAGTATTTTTCACTTGCACTGGGGATATATGTGTATGTATTAGTGCATGCAGAATGGACTGTGATCCCATTTACCCCAGGATACTGATTACATTTTTCCAGTTTTTACCTCATCCACTTTATTGTGGATTAGGTGAATCTTACCTGTGTTGTTGTTGTTATTATTAGGGGTAAGCCCTTTGGACACTACCGGAATGTCTACACTGGCGTTTAGATCCCAAGAAGTAAACTCTTGGGTATCTTATTTTTATTAGCGTTAAAGGAAAACTACTAGCACAATGTAAAGATGACTTTTTATGCTCTTAAAAACCCCCCCACAAAAGTAGTTAGTAGTTTTGGGCATGAAAGGTGCCCTTTAAATCCCTTAAAGAATTTTAGAATAATATTTCTACATAGTACTATTACTACCCAACTGAACTAAAAATAACATTTATTTTTTTCGTGCACAGGTTAGGATGTTAAATTGGTGATCTGATGACTCCCATGACCTTGACTTTCATCTCTAATTCGAATGCGCTTGAATTTACAAAACAAAAGGCCATTAAATGCTGTATTTGACATTGTAGTGTGCTGTGAAAATGTAGTAGTTTACTTGGACATACAGATGACATGAGTCTAGTAGAAAGGACTAAAATACTACTTGGTTTATAAATCCATGAAAGTAAAATCTGTTTTTAAGTGGAACATTAGCCATGAAAACCAATGGGGTGTTCTTTTTCTCATATATAGAACGAGCCTGATTGATTTTTCTGGAGGGTTGCATTGCCGTCAACGGATTGGTTCGATCAGTGAACAGCAACTGTAAGTATTAAACTATCAGCATTTTTTCCTTCTTATTATATAATATTTTTTTTAAAACAAATATACCAATTATAAACACAACCAAGTGGTATATTTGTTTTTTAAATGTAATGGCATGGGGTGCAAAGTGGACACAAATGAAATTTAATTAAATATACTGTGCAATTTCTCCAAAATCAAATCGCCACAAACTTTTGTGGTTGTGGCACAAAGGAATGGTATATTTCGATACACTTGTTAAAAACATGGAATGCCAATTTCACACAGCTGCAGAGAAGCATTCATCTAAACTGTGGTGAACACTATTCGCAATAAGAATGTAGACAAAATGTAGCTGTAATAGCAGAATGCAAGAATCTGTCAGTGGTCAAAATGTTTGATATAGCCCATCAGAATGCATTATTTCATATACACATATTTTTTTTTCTATGAGTTTATTTATATGCGTGGTTGTTCTTCTAAAAAAAAAAAAAAAGTAGGCTAGTACTTACTGTTTTTCCCCTGTCCCTGCATGGTTAATTTGATGGCTTCTTAGAGACATGTCTCAAAAAATTATTAATAATTATAAATTGGTGAAAATGGCAGTACCTGGGTCAGGGGAATAAATAGTATGTTTAGAATTTTCAAGAAGGTTTAAAGCGGCACTGTCAACGTTTGGAGACTTTTAATGATTTTCAACAGTCCCTGATTGTGATACTGAACCTGTTACCTGAACCTGCCCCTCACAGGCGTGTCCATCGTCTTCCCTACTTTGTCTCAGTATATATTTTGACAACGGTTGGAATATCAGTCATATTGACTGTTAGAATTTCACTATTTCTTAAGGGCAGTGCCGCTTTAAGAGTTGGAGATCTGGAATTCATCAGTTTGTTCAACAGATAATTTTTTTTAAATTTTTTTTAACTATCAATTTAATTGACTTTGCTTGTTAAACTTATAGAGGCACTCCAAGCTATAATTTACATTTTTATACACTGTATAGGTAAGAGCCTTAACAACATTGTACGAAAAACATGTTTAAAATAGTTAAAATAAAATAAGATAAAGAAAGATATATATTTAACAAGCAATTGTCACTTATGAGATTTTTGCACAATTAAATAGCTAACTATTTTAATTTGCTTAAAAACCACTAAAGCACAGTTAAGTGGTTCTGGTGTCCTTTCAGGGTGACCAGCCAGACGTTTTGCAAACGGTTTGACAATTTACTTTGGTTGTGCTGGTCGTAGCCACCTGGAGACACCCGCACAGAGCTTCTGTTAGCTCCACTAAGCTAAGCCTGCTCTCAAATTGTTTCTGAACTGTTTGATTACTTACCATGAGAGGTGACGTCACCAGGGCACTTTTGTTATAATAAACTATTGTAGTGATCATGTAGTCCTTGGAGTGTTTAGTTATGCCTGCAGAAGATGCTGAAGACACATACACTTGCAGAAAATTACTCTAATTTCTCTTTAGCTGCTTGAGTGCACCCATTGTTTCATGGGACTAGTTTGATGCTCAAAGTGCTGCAGTGGTAGGTAAGCTTTTGACTTGCCCTCCTCTGCTTTAGTCACTTTGGTAAATGCTGCCATAGCTCTTACTTTTTTTTTTTATGAAAAGTCACAGTTCCTTTTTAAAGTTTCTACATATAACTTTATATAGCACACTGTCCCATAAGCCCTCATGGCTTACGAGCAAAGCATAAGTTACTGGGAGTTGTTCAGTTTCAGCATTCAACTTATAAAGCTGTTACATTGCAGCCCTAAATCTGCCTCCAGTGGCTGTCTCCCAGAATATTATATTTTAGAATGGAGTTGGAGCAGAAAAGGCACGGTTAAAGGGACACTATAGTCACCTGAACAACTTTAGCTTAATGAAGCAGTTTTGGTGTATAAAACATGCCCCTGCAGCCTCACTGCTCCATCCTCTGCCATTTAGGAGTTAAATCCTTTTGTTTATGAACCCTAGTCACACCTTCCGGCATGTGACTTGCACAGCCTTCCATAAACACTTTCTGTAAAGAGAGCCCTATTTAGGCTTTCTTTATTGCAAGTTCTGTTTAATTAAGATTTTCTTATCCCCTGCTATGTTAATAGCTTGCTAGACCCTGCAAGAGCCTCCTGTATGTGATTAAAGTTCAATTTAGAGATTGAGATACAATTATTTAAGGTAAATTACATCTGTTTGAAAGTGAAACCAGTTTTTTTTTCATGCAGGCTCTGTCAATCATAGCCAGGGGAGGTGTGGCTAGGGCTGCATAAACAGAAACAAAGTGATTTAACTCCTAAATGACAGTGAATTGAGCAGTGGAATTGCAGGGGAATGATCTATACACTAAAACTGCTTTATTTAGCTAAAGTAATTTAGGTGACTATAGTGTTCCTTTAAGATACAGAGTGAAATGAAAACATTTTTGCAAAACCTAAACAAAATTGAACATCTAACTTTTTTTTTTTGTGTGCCAGAAAAGTTATAAAAGTACTGGTGACAGTTTTTAATATATTTTCATTCTTCATATTTGTGTTTAGATTGCAGAGATATGAATGAACACCCTAAGAAACGAAAAAGAAAAACCCCCTTCCCGTCCCGCTATGCTGGGCAGATTGCCACTGAAACATCTCCTGGTAAGATAATCCTATATGAAAGAGATTTATAAAAGTAGTTGGTTAGATTTGTGGAGGAATTACCATGCAAACCAACAGAATCATCAGAAACATTCCTTAGGTTTCCATGGTGATTACACCACTTTTAGAAGTTCACCTTACTTTTATTTTAGTGACAGTTTAAACAAAATGAGGACATAATGCAGAATATAAAGTTCTCTGTGTTGAGCATTACTTTTTCGTAGTAATGTTTAAATAAATATATTCACCAGAACTATTACAGCCTAATGTAGTGGTTCTTGTGTCTATAGCATATTCCTGCATCCTTTTTTTATATAAATACGGTCTTTCAGAGAAAAGGCAGTATATACATTGCCTATTAACCCTTCTAGTGGCAGTCACTGTCACATTGTGTGCAGTACCTAAGTTCAGCATCTCCATGCTCTGTATAGAGACGCTGAATGCTTCCCATTCAATGCATCTGTATGAGGAGATGCTGATTAATTTAGTAAGCCATTTCCTGCGCATGTGCAATTGCCTTCCAATGCTTTTCTGTGTGAAAGCATTGGATTGGTTAAGATTATCAAGATTGAGTGAGGACCAGGCGTGGGAGAAAAGGTGGGTAAAATCATATTTTTACTGCAATTGGAGGGAGGGGCGGCTAACCTAAATAGCCACTTAAGGACTGTAGTGTCCAGAATACATGTTTGTATTTCTGACACTAAAGTATTCCTTTTAATGAAGTAACCCAGTGGTTCCCAAACTTTTTAGGTTCAAGGCGCCCTTACTATTTCAATATTTTTCCAAGGCACCCAAAGTCAAAACAATTTTCTAGGTTGTAGAGCTGTACAGAGAGAGTTGTACAGCGCTGCAGCATATACTGGTCCCCTAATCTTGGGTGTGGCACTGGTAGAATATTTAAAGAAACAATCGAGGCACAATAACCACTACATTATGTTGTAATGGTTATGGTGCCAGTAGTGCCCTCCCAAGGTAAGAAGTCAAATTATTTAAGAACAGTTTGACAACTTACCGGGGGTCTGCCAGGATAGGGACTGTAGTGTGTGTGTACAGGGGTGCATTGTGTTTGTGAAGGATGCAGTTTGTGCGTGGGGGTTGCAGCATGTGTGTATGGGGGGCTATTGTGTGGTGTGGGGGTAGGAGGGCAAATTAAGAAATATATACTTTTATTATTAAAAATTTTAATGATGTCCCCCCCTCCATGCTTACCTTTGCCTGGGAGGGGGGACATTTCCTGCAGTCCCTGGTGGTGAGAGTGAACTCTAGCAGCCTCAGGAGCTGCTAGAGTTCACTCTCGCGAGATTTGGAGCATTGCTGTGGTAACCACAGCAACTCTCCTAGCTCACGAGAGGAGAACCCGGTGGAGCTGCAGTCTAGAGCTCTCCCGGGTCCTCTCTCTCCCTCCCTCGCTTCCGGCTGTCAGCAAAGGGCTCGCGGGCCGGAGAAGGAGAACTATGATCATAGCACCAGGAAAAAACCTTGCGACACACTGTTTGTGAACCACTGAACTAACCTATACTACCTACTGTGTGGTTGAACATTATGGAATTTATGTATAAAAAGTGTTGTGTGCTGAAAAGTGGTCTAAAGTGCTAAAAGTAGCTGCAGTCACCATGAAAACCAAAAGAACCAGCAGGCACATTGCATCGGTGACTCCAACCCTTTTCCATGTTTGCACCACTTTTTAGAACGGGCACTTTTTATATTTCACTCCAAATGTTCTGTGTAAAGGTCAAAAGGATTTTCTGATGTTTTTATTCTCTCCTTTTTGACAGATGTTTCGGTTCCAGTCAAAACATTAGAAAACAATGGAATATTCTTTGATCATTGTTATAGTGTATGTTCCATAGTACAACAAGATCACAAGGTTCCAGAAATTGAAGGTATTTTTCCCCAAATCTTTGAAAATGTACTGAATTCTTCATATTAAAAGACTATGCATTTATTAATCTTGTGTGGATAAATGCAGTCTTACACATGAATAAATAAGGTAGCGCATATTACTACATGTTTTAGCATGATCAGTAATATAATATAATGAAACCTTTCATTTTACCTCAGGCTGCCATGACGTCAAGATAATCCTTTGGGGCCTGTCTTTGCTAGTGCAATATTTGTTCAGGAAAAGGGTCATTTTAACTGCTACAGCACTAACAACAAGGGGATCCTTCTGCCTATAAGACTGTCTTGATGTAAACTGGATTTCCTAATTGTTCTAATGCTTTAACGTATGATTGCCTGTGGAGAATATTCCATGTGTGAGCATATTGACTTAGCCACAACTGTTATTCTCTAAACCAGAGTTGGCCAAAAGGTAGAGGCCCATGTGCCATAGAAGTACAAGTCCCATGATATTTTGCTTGCCTGTAAAATGGAAAAGCATCATGAGATTGTAGTTCCACGCCATCTAAATAAATTGAGCTAACAATGTTTTTCAGATTCCTATCTGGAAGTGCAGCAAGGGGTTCTGATGGTAAAATGTACAAGATAAAACAGACAATCTGATTTTTGGGGTATATAGTGTAAATATATAACTGACTGGGGGGGCGGGGGGGTGGAATCCCTTTAGTCTAGTAGAACTTTTATCCATTGAATGAATGATGTATAGCCAATTAAATTGAACTTCTTTTACTTTGTGTTAAACGTTACTGACTGCTAACAACTAATGATAATTGCATTTTGTTTATTCTTCAGAGGAGCCCAGTGCTAATGGAGACAATAGGGAAGTGTGTGAGTCTCCAACATTAATTCCACAGCCAGTCCATGAAGATGCAATAGTGGAAATTCACACTGAAGAGCCTGAGAGTGTACCTTCACCTGTCAATGAGGAGGAAATCAAGGACACCCAACTTCAGATTAATGAAAGTCCTGAAAGCAGTCCTTCTTCTAACTTAACTGCACCCCAAAAGTGGCCTCTACTACGGGCTAATAGCAGTGGCCTATTTAGATGTGAGCAGTGTGATTTTAACAGCAAGTACTTCTCTGATCTAAAGCAGCACATGATTCTGAAGCACAAGTGCACAGAATCTCACATCTGCAAGGTGTGTAAACAAAGTTTCTCAAGTGATGATTTACTTTTGGACCATGGAAAGGTTCATGAGGAGGACCAGCTGAGCTGTAAGCACTGTGACTTCAAGACCAATGCCTTTGAAAGCCTCAGTCAACATGTAGCAGATGCTCACTTCAATGACTTCCTGTACTGGTGTGAACAATGCGACCTGCAGTTTTGCACAAGCAGCGAACTGTACCTGCACTTTCAGGAGCACAGCTGTGATGAACAGTACCTCTGCCAGTTCTGTGAACATGAGACAAACGACCCAGAAGATCTTCACAGCCATGTGGTAAACGAACATACCTGCCGACTAATAGAGCTGAGTGACGCCTATAATAATGGAGGACGAGGGCAGTTCAGTCTTTTAAACAAAATTAGCTTTGATAAGTCCAAAAACTTCTTTGTTTGCCAAGTATGTGGCTTTAGCAGCCGACTCCACACAAATGTGAATAGGCATGTAGCAATAGAGCATACACGTTTCTATCCACATGTTTGTGATGACTGTGGAAAAGGCTTTTCTGGTATGTTAGAGTACAGCGAGCATTTAAATTTACATTCTTCTGAAGGCGTCTACCTGTGCCAGTATTGCGAATATTCCACAGGTCAGCTGGAAGATCTGAAAACACACTTAGATTTTAGGCATTCTACAGATATGCCCCACAAATGTAAGAACTGCCTTCTGAGATTTGGATCAGAGAACGAACTTAAAAGTCACCTTCAGACCCATGAGAGAACATGATCATATTGGTGGGGAATTAGCTGTAGTTTTCATGTCATTGTCTACAAAAGACAAAACTTTGAAACTGTTGGTAATCTTAGAGGTCTGTCAAATTATAAATGTGAATTTCTCGTGTAGTTTTGCGGATAAAGAAGCCAACTTGATTCACATGTTTATTGCTGGATTAATTGCCAGCAAATATACATAGATTTCATTATGTATAAGAAAACTTGTTTGATCTTGCTGATTCGTTGTAAAATGTACGTTCATTCTTGAATAATTATTCTATTTACTAAATAATGAATTCAGTGCTCCTGATGTGATTGCAGTTGTTTACTTTTTAAATCAAGCAATGCAATCCCTAAATAAAACACACGGTGCATGCTAGTTGGTATTAAATGTCTGTGCCTGCTGTGTTTATCATTTGGTTTTTGTTTTGGTGTTTGTTTTTTTGTGATAGGAAATCTTGTGTTTGTGTGTAAATAACTCTGCATGGTCATTCTGGACAGAAGACAAAATATTTGAAGCCATCAGACTACCTGGATTTTATGCTTTTTCTGGAGTTATGTAGAGGGGAACTTTTTTTTTCTGATATTTTATTTGAAATGCCTTGCTGGTTTCCTGGGTGGGTGAAGGCATTCCTTTACATAAAAGGCCACATTGCATCAAATTAATGACAGATTTTATTATGTATTTGGAAAATACAGTTTGTACCAAATACACTTTGGTAATTTACTCTTAAATATTTGGGACCATGTATTTTCTCAGTGAAATTAAAAATCAAGAAATGCACTCCATGCTGTTCAACATCATACAGTAAAATGGTTATGAAAAGCAGGGACTGTTTGTATTGTATAATTCCCTCTCATTTGTTTGGATTCAGTCCCATAAGTCTGAGATTACTGTAAAATCTATTTATAAAATGTAATACATTCTATCTGATACTGATGGTTTGACAGAAATATGTAAAACGTAATTTTCAAATAAAAAGATAAAACTTGTTTTTGGGCACTGTAAAATAAGAGAAGTAATCAAATTCAGAATAATTATAATTTCAGTCCAACCCAAGATGTCACACATACATAAGCTTGCATAAGGAAAAAAAAAACAAATGGATTCTTTTGAAACTAATAATGTACATGCTAACATTAAAATATCAATTCCAAGGTGATTGGGGAAACCCTTATAAAAGTAACATAAAGGCAGCCTAACCAGTTATATACAGAAATGTTTTTAATCTTTTTTGTTTAAATGTAATAAAAAGGCATTAGTAATATGGGTTAGGTAACATTTTCTGCAATTATATGACCTGTCCAGAACTTGTTCGCAATTCAAGCTAATGGAATGTAGGTAGCTATTAATATCATATAGACAGCTATGTGTGGAGCTATGACACAATAAGTCACCTGTGTTTAGAAATCTAATAAAGTAACAATATTTTATCTTCACTTTTGCACATACAAAGACTCTTAACAATACATATGTATGGGATAGTCATTTGTAATAAGCTTTTTTTTTTCTCTTGGCTACACATAAACAGTTTGAAACCTGCTATTTTATGAGATTTGACCTGAAACGCAAATCACAGGCAGCTTAAATTGATCCTATAGTGCCAGGAATACAAACCCGTTTTCCTGGCACTATATGCTCCTGGAGTGCCCCCCTCCCGCAGGACTGAAGAGGTTAAACCCCAATCAGCCACTTACCTGAATCCAGCACCGATGTCCCTCGGCGTTGGGTCAGGCTCTGCGCACGCTCCTGCCCTAGCCGGCGGGGGAGACCTAATTTGCATGTGCGGCAATGGCCACGCTCTCATTAGACCCTCCTCATAAGAAAGCATTATTCAATGCTTTTCTATGGGTAAAATCTGACGCTGGAGGTCCGTGAGGACGTCCAGCATCCGATAACACCAAAAGTCCTTTTGGATTCTGGAAGACCTATAGTGGCTGTCTGTTAGACAGCGACAGAGGGCAGACTTAGAGCTGCAATATTTTACATAGCAGCACTAAGTGCAAAAGGGTTACAGCACCCAGACTACTTCAATTAGATAAGGTGGTCTGTGTGTCTACAGTGTCCTTTTAAGCAACATAAATACACACAGAACAGAAAAGCTGCGCTCACCTAAACATGCATAATTTATAAGGTTGCCGATAATGGACAATAGATACAACATACAAAATTCAGCACATTCCATTTCTAACAACCTTTAAGCTATTAGGCAAAAATAATGGGGTTTTAGTTACAGAATGTGACCATACATTGCATAAATCTGACAAAGTGCCTATATATCTTCTTATGAGCAGGTCTTTATACCAACCTAATAACTGCTTTTAGAGTACAACCTGCCCATAATAGAGTTAATTTGAATTTTGGAAGGCTAATGCAATGTATTCTCATATAATCCTAATTTTCTTTTTTTAACCAACTCGATTGTTTTTAAAAACTTGGGGTTTGAAGTGAAGTGTGTTGAATTTTGTATGTTCTAAAATAAGAAAAGATACAAAATAAAGGATTCATATAAATTTCACAAATTCTAAATGTGAATTATTTGAACAATACATAACAAAACATGAACTCATTCAGTGCAGAAATCTTGAACAAGCTACATGTTTCCATCCACACTATCACACTGCAAGCACCCATACAGGAAATTAAGTGCTAGTGAGATATAAGATACCTTAATTGGAGTGGGTACTTAAGACTTTTTGTCAAGAAGAGCACAAACGAATACAGGCAACCAGGACCGGATTAACATAGGGCTTGATGGAGCTGCAGCTCTAGGCCCATTGTTAAAATTTTTTTTTCCCCTTTTTGGGTTCAGGTTATGTGACTCGCGTCAGTGGCCCACCTTTTTACCCCATCCACGGACATTTTGCTTTGTCCGACCTGCTGTTAGGGGGTATGGATTTACCTGAAAGATGAAAGTGAGACATTAGCATAGGATATCTTTTCTTATAGCTATATCCTGTGAGTTTCCCTCCTGCACCATCTCCGCCAGATACATGATGCTTGGGAGGTATGACTGTTTTAGTGTTTTCTGTAGATAAGATTTTGTAATTAGGCCCGTCATAATTGTCAGCACCAGGCCCAATGGGCTCTTAATCTGTCCCTGCAGGCAACTGTTAAATAATTATTTCCAGCAGCAGTATGCAAAGTTTTAATAGCCATAGAGACACGAAACAGCCCCTATTTGATTTAAAGGTCAATGATCTCTCCCAGCCTGACTGACTCTCTGCTATTTCTAACTGGATGGATGCCCACTTCCTTAAAGGACCACTCTAGGCACCCAGACCACTTCAGCTTAATGAAGTGGTCTGGGTGCCAGGTCCTTCTAGGGTTAACCCATTTTTTCATAATTATAGCAGTTTCAGAGAAACTGCTATAATTATGAATGGGTTAAGCCTTCCCCCTAATCCTCTAGTGGCTGTCTCATTGACACATTAGGGCGCTTGCGTTTCACGTGATTTTCACAGTGAGAGACGCAGCGTCCATAGGAAAGCATTGCAAATGCTTTAGAGACTGCTGAATGCGCTAGCTCTTGCCGCGCGTAAGCATTCAGCCGGGCGGGGCTTAACGGAGGCGGAGAGAGAGGAGGAGAGCTCTCCGCCAGCGCTGGAAAAAGGTAAGTTTTTACCCCTTTCCCCCTTCCAGAGCCGGGCGGGAGGGGGTCCCTGAGGGTGGGGGCACCCTCAGGGCACTATAGTGCCAGGAAAACGAGTATGTTTTCCTGGCACTATAGTGGTCCTTTAAGCTCATCTTGTCCCAGTTTTTGTCTCCCTCCACGCTCGTTGCCTAGGTAAGTGGCTATGGGGACCCATTACGAGTTCCAGAGAAGAGGTTTTTCGGGACTGAGGGCAGCATCAGATTATTTGTCGTTTGTTTATTCTCAGAGAGAACAGGTGTCTGTGCCAATTAGACAGAGTATCTGTCTAATTGTATCAAACGATTCGCACACAGTAACTCGGGATAACTCAGAAGTTGGGTCTTGAGATCAACAGTTTGGCCAGATTGACTGGTTGCCTTGTATCATTGAGCTTTCTGGAGGTACTTGTATGTTGCTATCCTGGCTTCTTCCTCGTGGGCCCTCTGGTACTTGAACTCCATCTGTCCTGACCTTCCCTGTTCTTGATCTCATCTTTGAGTTAGGTTTTTCTAATTCTAAGTATTGGCTCATATGCCTGTTGCTAGTTAGGTAGTAGTTCCCTATACCAGATGCAATCCACCTTCTTGTTTGGTTGGCCAGTAATTGATGTTTCTTATATCTGTTGTTAAATGATCACTATAGGGTCAGAAACAAAAACATGTATTCCTGACCCTATACTGTTAATACCACCATCTGGCCCCCTCATACCTCCATCAATATAGTAAAGATCTTACTGTAGTCAAGCTTGAAGTTGTAAATCTGCATGCTGTTAGACTCAGAAAAACCAGCAGTCTGCTGACATGTGGTAGCCTGATCCAATCACAGTGCTTCCCCATAAGATTGGCTGAGACTGACAAAGAGGCAGATTGGGGCAGAGCCAGCATGATTCAAACACAGCCCTGGCAAATCACCATCTCCTCACAAAGATGAATTGAATCAATGAATCTCTATGAGGAAAGTTCAGTGTCTGCATGCAGAGGGAGGAGATACTTAGAGGGAAACTCCAGTGCCAGGAAAACAATCAGTTTTCCTGGCACTGCAGGTTCCCTCTCCCTCCCACCCCCTAACCTCCAGTTGCTGAAGGGGTGAAAACCCCTTCACTGACTTACCAGAGGCAGCAACATGTCCCACGTCGCTGCTTCTCCTCTGCATTACATCGGCCAGTGGGCGAGACTGATCTCGCCCACCGGCCGGGGAGACCTAATGTGCATGTGCATTAGAGCTCCCCATAAGAAAGCATTGAAAATGCTTTTCAATGCTTTCCTATGGGGAATTGAGCGACGCTGGAGCACAGGTTTCCTGTGCTATGAAGCAGGAAGTGCCCTCTAGTGGCTGTCTAGTAGACAGCCACTAGAGGTGGAGTTAACCCTGCAAGGTAATTATTGCAGTTTATAAAAAAAAAAAATGCAATAATTACAGTTGCAGGGTTAAGGGTAGTGGGAGTCGTCACCCAGACCACTCCAATGGGCAGAAGTGGTCTGGGTGCCTGGAGTGTCACCTGAATCACAGGATGCTGTGCACAGTGCTGCCCTGTGCTCTGCTATGGCAGATCTGAGTGGATGCCATCAACCCCCAAGTGTTCACTGTGAGTGACTGCAACTGGAGGTGCTCCTAGCTTACAATGTAAACACTGTATTTAAAATAAAATATATCTATACAGAATTGTTAGTTTTTCATTAAATGCATTTCCATAAGAAAGGTTACTACAGTCCCCACACCAGGCCCATTGAAGCCCCTACTATTACCCTGGTGCAGTCAGAGACACAGTCACCGTGTGTTACCGCAGTAGCTGTGCCAGTCCTGGCTATGAAGGGGTTACAGTTACCGCCCTCACACTTTGTTTAGTAAATCCAGCGAGCAGGGAGGCTGTCCATTGGCTGGCAGGACACAGTGCATGTGATTATCAGCAGTCTGTTTATTATGGGTGTGATCGCTATCAGCTATCTGTGACATGGCCGGGATAGACACATTACACGCTGCACGGAGACCGCCATCCCACCGACCGAACTCTGACACCAGGAACCATAACAACACGTCACTCAGCGCAGCCACACACGCAGCCAATCAGAGGGCTGGAGGCGACTGTCACGCGACCTGGACCGGAAGTTCGGCGAACAGCAAGGGCATCCCTGCGGAGGGGGGTGATAGGTTCTCGGGCGATGGGAAGTGACGTCAGCCCCGCCTCCTCTTGTGATTGGATGCGGAAGTCTCAGGGTAGTGCAGGGTCAAGAGGCCGGGCGGCTGTGGGTCCGGGAGGCGGCGTGTGTCAGGTGTGTGTCTGTCCGCCAGGCAGCTCCTTATATAAACAGAGTGCGGCATGGAGCCTGATATGGGGGCCAGGGACATGGCAGCTCCTCACTGACTAGCAAACAGCGGCCTGGGGATATTCACTAAACTCCGAATGGCGGAATTCAGACTATAATAGCTGATCTGGAAACATTCTCCAGCTGCAGGATAGTCACAGCTCGGCTAGTCTAGTCTCGGGTTACTATTGGAATGTGGAATTCACTGCACTTCTGAGTTTAGTAAGTGAACCCCTACAGGTCACAATATTAACTGTCCCAGGGATACAGCTTTCTGGCTGGGACTCCTTCCCCCCCCACAAAGATATATACACACACACACACACACACACATACAGCTATACATTGGGAGCAACAGTGTGATGATCCTAAAAGTGAAAGGGCAAAGTACTGTACAAAATCTCTAAAATACCTAATCTCAATGCAGTTAGTCTGAATTGTGCTCTTATTTTGTAAACTTTGCTACATTTTTAAATGGCCTCAAATACCTTTTTTTATTTCTGCCCTGTGCTAGTTTTAGTGTTAAATTAAGTGAAAATATGCGTGCACTTAATTATGCATTTTTTTTTTTTTCCATTGGGGTATATCTACAAACACACTGTAAAATTTGCAGATCTCTTGTGTCCTGCCTATGCAAGCCCTAGACTTTCTGTGGCTGTCTAAACACAAGCTTCCCAGTGCAGCTCAATGAGAAGTCTTTGTAAGGCAGGTGCTCTGGGCAATGGCTTCCTCTTGTGTTTAGCTCCACTGAAATTTCGAACCGACCTGAAAGTACCAAATGTCGTCCTAACACAAATGAACAATCTGTACTCATTCTGTTAGGGTGAAATTCGGTAGTTTCGCCGGCGTTCTGTCTAAATGACAGGACGTTCGGGAATACTGAAAGCAGGCATCACGGAGGAAAGGGTGAGTATTGTGGGAAAATTTCTCTGACCCACAGGAAGTAGGTCAAGGCTGCTCAAGTGTAGGAAAAATACATAAGACAAAGCAGTCCCTATTTTGTCATATGTTTTAAAGAAAACTAGAGCCAATAGGAAGAAACGGAGAACAGATCCCGAGAGAGGGAGAGAACAGGAAGTGATTAGGGAAAGGTAAGTTCGGCATGATAGTGCCACTTAGGTATGAATTGCTGCTAACTAATCTGTAGATTGGATACTTTCTGGGTTTTTTTTTTTTTTTTGTTTGGTGTTTTTTTTCTCTGATTCCCTTTGAACATATGTTTTTGTACAAATGATGAAAATAATGTATAATTACTTTTAAACATTGGTAGGGTTATTAATTTTTTCTCAAAGGTGACCAGTCACTAGGACCAGAGCTCTTTCATAGAATTAACATTGGAACTGTTGCCTTTATTATTATTATTATTATTATTATTATTATTATTATTATATTTATATAGCACCAACAAATTTAGCAGTGCTTTACAATGGGTGGACTAACAAACATGTAATTGTAACCAGACAAGTTTGAAACCCAGAAACAGAGTGGTTGAGCTTTAAATTTACTTCCAGATAAAGACTGTGTTTTTTGCTGTTTTGTAACCCTGTAAATGTATTGAAGATGTTTCTTACTCTTATGCTTGGGGAGGATATCTTCCCATGTGCAGGAAAAATTCTTATCCCATTGGTTCTCTGAACTGACCATTTGGCTGGAAAATAAACATTCATTATTACTAAAAGGAGTGTTTTTATATGTGTTTTGAACACCTGTGTGTATTTGTTTACACATTTGCTCTGACTCTACCCTAGCTTATTTTCATTTGCTCTTCCTATGCCTCTAAGGGCATATCAAGTTTCTCGATGTAGGAAGCAGTAACAGAATTTTCTCTAAGATTAGGATATAAAAAGGTGAAACATCTTTTTGTTAACCTCTTAATCGGTTACTTTTAATCCCTTAAGGACCAAACTTCTGGAATAAAAGGGAATCATGACATGTCAGACATGTCATGTGTCCTTAAGGGGTTAAAGGACCACTATAGGCACCCAGACCACTTCAGTTTAATGAGGTGGTCTGGGTGCCAGGTCCAGCTAGGTTTAACCCTTTTTTCTATAAACATAGCAGTTTCAGAGAAACTGCTATGTTTTTATAAATGGGTTAATCCAGCCTCTAGTGGCTGTCTCATTGACAGCCGCTAGAGGGCTTCTGCGCTTCTCACTGTGATTTTCAACATGTATAACGGTGCATGGTTAGAAATGCTGTTAATAAACATCTGCAGTAAGTAGTTAATTGTCTCAACTCTGAGTTGCAGTGAAAAATGTTTTACAAACAAAAACTGCTGACAGAATATAATGCTTTATATTTAGCTACTAGGTGTTTGAATTTGATCTGAGTACTAGTTTTGAGGCTGCAATTTATTGACCAATGTGGAGGGAGGTATTTTATCAATTCTTGGCACTTTAAGCATCGTTCAATTTAAAGGTCTGAGAGTTGTAAATACAATTCCAGTGCTTTCAATTTCTGAGTAGAGTTATAATTTTCTTACATTAGCTCATATTCTTATAATGAACAATAACACCTCTCTTCAGAACAGATGTATTAGATAATCTACCTATTCTAAATGTGTATGTTAATCGGTAGTTTTGGTGGGGCTAGGGGGTGCTGTTTTTTTGGCATAGCAGTGGTAAGTCCCTCATTCTTTATGCCAGACTCTTCATCCAGTGAGTTCTCTTGATTTTCAAGTGGGCAGTCATAAGCATACTCAGTGTCACAAGTAGGGCAGATGGGCATTCACTGGTATTGGTATGCTGAGTAGCTATACATATATTTGCCTGTCACACTCCTAGTCTGTGGTAGACACCAGTTATTTTCTGTTCATTTCAAAATGACAAAGGGTAATAATCAAGGATTGTTAATAACCACTTTTTTCTTCTTTTTAATGGTGGTGTTTTGTTTTAGTATTTTTATTTCGGAAGCACCTTTATATTTTGGAGAGTGCCTTGCGTTTAGGTATATTTTAATTTTTTTTAGTTTGTTTAATAAAATGTGTATCTTTCTTTGTAGCTAAAAGATGGATGAAACAAAGGTCTCTCCATTGAAGCACTTTGTTCAGGCGAAGAAATCCATAACGTCTATCTTTGACCAGTTGGTACAATATGTCAGTGAGGGGGTGTTGTTCGTAGAAGGTAAGATATGCTTTTTTTTTTTATAATGCATGAGTACAGCAAGCTCCCAGTCAAAAGAAATAATGTGGTTTCAGGTGAAATTTAGTTTATTTAAATGCATATAGAAGGTAGTATGCCATCCATCTGCATAGAATTCTATAAAATTTGTCTTTGGCTCATAGATGTGCATATCTGATCCTAAATTCTTCAAACACTTTAAAAGTCAGTATAACTATATGTAATGAGCATTCTTTTTTTAAATGTATTATTATTATTATTATTATTATTATTACAGCAACATTTAAAAACCCAGAGTTAAGATATGTAACAACAAATGAAGATCTTAATAAGATACAGAGTTTTCAGACAAGATTGACGGGCATTGGTGAAGTGCTGTCACGAAGACACATGAAAGTTGCATTCTTTGGCAGGTAAGCCCTTACAATCCCATACAACTCAAAAATTCAGAAAGGGGTTAGGCATATAATATGAAAACCAAATATAGTGTCAATTTTTTTTTTCCTTCTCCCTTTCCTTTGTGTTTCGAGTGTAGAGCTGTGTCTTTAATGTAGTGTATGCACAACAAACTGTAATTGCTCCCATTGTGAATAAGAGCAGAATATGTTTGCACTTATTCCAATAGTACACCTAAAGCAAATAAAGGAGTTTGACAATGAGCTTGTATGGCTTGGATTTCACTCATGTACATGTTTGCATTATAAAACACTGTTATATCCTATAGAAGATAACTTTGCAATTGTCCAAAGAGAGCAGAGACACATGAAAGGGATACAATAAGTGCCAGGAATACAAAGCTGTGTTCCTGGCATTATAGAATGAGAATTTAACAAATTAGTTTTTCCCCCAACTTTGTCAATCTTAATTTCTCTTTCATACAAAATTTTAAGAGAGTTATTTGTGGGACTTGCTGGTTTTGAAGGAAACTTGTAAGGTTTTGTCCCCTAGACGGTAGCTATTAAGACTTGCAATGGCCATGGCAGGCTCTTCATAGTTTGTCATTGTCACAAAACCTTTGCACTTGTTGCTGTTAAAATCATGGATAACCTTCACATTAGTGACAGCTCCAAAAGGCCCAAACATCTGCCAAAGGATTCCTTCATCTGCATCCTGACCAAGGTTATATATGAAGATGCACCATCCAGTTGAAGCACTTCTCGCAACATTTACACCAGATATACTGCTCATGTGATCAACTCCTATTGGGGAAAACCTGAATCCTTGGGCCTGGTTCTGAACTGGTCCACCAAACCGCCGATCAGGAGAGTCGCACAACTGGGAAAGGAGGGCCATATTTTTATTCTGATTAGGATTGGTGGCAAATTTCACTTTGATGGGTTCTGATGAACCTGGAGTTTTGTGGGCATTGAAACTTGCTATAGCTTCTTCTGCTTCAGATCGCTTATCAAACCGTATAAAAGCAACTCCTCGTGATAAACCTGTGGCCTGATCAACAAGGACACATAAATTGATAATACGTCCAAATCCTGAAAACATACCTTCCGCATCCTTTTGTGTCATTTTCCTTGGGAGTCCACTGATATACAAGTTTGCATCCTTTGTTTTCTGAACTTGGATGAGCAATTGGTACCATTATAGTTTTTGATTACAGTCTCAGTCCATTTAGTGTGTTTATTGCTCTTTCAGCATCTTTTACATTTAGATAATTTACAAAACCATATCCTAAGCTGTCTCCTATCTGCTTACCTGCAACTTTATCACGTATAAGTTTTGCAGATTTAACCTTCCCAATACTACTGAAGAGGCTGCGTAACTCATCCTGTGTCATGTTTTGAAGAAAATAATTCACAATCAAAATGGTTCTGCCAATGTTATCCCTGCACACATCTTCCATGTGATCTTCATAACTGGTGGACATGTTTTATTATTTTAATATCCTGGGAGCTTCCCGCTTTGGTCAGAAGGATGAGCGGCTCTATATGTGGCCTGGTTTGGACGTTCCCAGCACAGAGCTTTGTTTGTGTTTTTACTCTGCTTTACTGTTGCTCTTCGATAAATGTCATATTTTTCTCTTTCAGAACAAGCAGTGGGAAGAGCACAGTAATTAACTCAATGCTTTGGGACAAAGTACTACCAAGTGGAATTGGTCACACAACAAACTGCTTCCTCAGTGTGGAGGGCACTGATGGAGACAAAGCATATCTGATGACTGAAGGCTCAGAGGAACAGAGGAGTGTCAAGGTATATGTCTAGACCAGTGCGCACTGACGTTTTGTATATACAAAGCTCAGCCTATTTGTTACATCCATCCCTAGACCAATTTAAATTCATTATCTTTTAATTAAATTGCATGTCTGGGTCATTGTACATGTTGGTTTAGGTTAAAGAACACTCATCCTAAAACTGTATTGTACCACTTTAAAGAGGGTGAAATTATGGCACGCACGTTTTCTGTATTGCAGCTTATCTATTTTGGTTCTTTGACATAAAACATTAGTGTTACTTTTTTATAATTCTTGCAATCCACTGGAAAAGAGAGCTGTGACTGTGAGAGCTGCATCCACTCACATCCAAAATGATGTTATTATATTTATGTTGAATTAACTGAGAACACTACAGATTTTGGAACAGGCCATTGCATTCCCACCTCCAGATTCATTAAAGGACCACTCTAGGCACCCAGACCACTTCAGCTTAATGAAGTGGTCTGGGTGCCAGGTCCAGCTAGGGTTAACCCATTTTTTTTATAAACATAGCAGTTTCAGAGAAACTGCTATGTTTATAAATGGGTTAATCTTTCCCCTCTAGTGGCTGTCTCATTGACAGCAGCGCTGTGCGTTTCTCACTGTGATTTTCACAGTGAGAGCACGCAGCGTCCATAGGAAAGCATTGTAAATGCTTTCTGCGCACGGGCTGAATGCGCTGCGCAGCTTGCCGCTGCGTGCGCATTCAGCCCAGGAGGAGGAACGGAGGAGGAGAGGAAGCAGAGAGCTCCCCGCCCAGCGCTGGAAAAAGGTAAGTTTAACCCCTTTCCTCCTTCCAGAGCCGGGCGGGAGGGGGTCCCTGAGGGTGGGGGCACCCTCAGGGCCCTATAGTGCCAGGAAAACGAGTATGTTTTCCTGGCACTATAGTGGTCCTTTAAGGACAGGTGTGTGTGTGTGTGTGTGTGTGTGTGTGTGTATATATATATCATGCACATTTTAGACTTCTGTATCACATTCCTGTCTGTGTCTCCTAATTGCCAACACCTTGTGAATCTGCAATTGGTATCAGAACTCTTTGGATCATGATTTGGATAGTTGTTTTTCAATAAAAACAGACCTTCTCTAAGACAAATTGCAATAAACCGCAACTTGTCACAAATGTAAAAGATGATCCTTGTTCTGTTCAGGAAAAGGTGTAACTACAGCTTCCATTTTGGCATTCATAAATAAGTTGGTATGTTGGCTTACCTAAAGTTAATTTAAAAATATTTTTAAAAAAAATTAATTTTTTTTTTTTTTTTTTCCAGACTGTTAATCAGCTAGCTCATGCCTTGCATATGGACAAGGATTTGGAAGCTGGCTGCCTCGTACATGTCTTCTGGCCAAAGGCAAAGTGCGCTCTCCTCCGAGATGACCTGGTTCTTGTGGACAGGTATATAACCTGCCTGATATGGGTTTGCTGTCTTAATGTCTGTATATAATTTAACCCGTTTTATGCTGATAGTTTGTACACGGCCCTAGCTCAGAGTATGCCCTATATTGCTGAGAAATGTGTGCAGTGCATTCTCTGGTGCTGCACTGTTTATTCACCTGTGTAATGGGATAATATCTTGTGGTTACAGACTGTACTCCTACCTTTTCAATATGACAGTAACAAAACATACTGTTACTTGCAATGGGCAGCCATTGGAAGGCTGAAATTATTAGATGACACTCTGTCGATCCCCGGCGCCTCAGCTAATCCTTCCTTATCAGTATGGCAAATGCAAGGAGCAGGTAGTGTGGACTGGCACCTGGGGGAACAACTTATGGGTTAAACTTTTGCAAAATGGCTTCATACCGTAAGGCAAGAGGGTTTCCAAGGACTTCAGCCTATATTACAACTTTACTAAGAAAAGGTTATTTTGGGGACTGAGTTTCCCTTTGAATCTGCAAAATGAATTGATTTATTCTTGGTATTGTAGTAAGTCTTTATAGTCGGAAGAGGAAAATCCCAATCATTTCCTTATAGCAGTGTTTCCCAATTGGACACAAATGGGGTTTCTGCCAAAATGTCTGAAAACAAAATGGCTGCGGTTTGCGAGGGAGGAGTGGGCAATGATCTCCCTGCTCAGCTCCATCACGCGCACAGCAGTGATGCCTGGGCCGGAATATGATGTCACTCCGGCAACATGAAGAGGCGCACAAGGGAGCTGAGCAGGGAGATCACTTCTTCCTTGCTGCCAGCCGCTCTGCAACCCCACTGGACCCAAGGGACCGCACGCTCAGCTCAGCAGCCCCACTGAACCACAGGGACATAGACTCCATGCCAGCACTACCAATGGTAGGGAGGCTGGGTGGACTAAAATTTAAAAAATATATATAATTGTATATGTGTTTGTGTGTTTGTCAATGAGAGTGTATGTGTGTCACTGTGTGTATCTGTGTCAAGGTTTGTGTATGTGTCACTGTGTATCTGAGTGTGTGTGTGTGTGTGTGTGTAACTGTGTCAGACACACACACACACACATATATACATACACACATACACACACAGATACACACTGTGTGTGTGTGTTGCTTTACTATGTCAAAGGGTTCCACAGGAAAATTAATTGGGAATCCCTGCCTTATAGGTTGCAGAGTCTTAGAAGTATTTTTGGGGTTTATTGATTAGGGAAATTCCACCTGCATATTTGATTCTCGTAAAGTATATCCTAAAATAAGCAAAACTCAGTGGTGTAAAATAATATTATTGTATAAGCCACTTGTTTCCATGAAATTACATTTTATTTTATGCAGTCCTGGAACAGACGTTACTACAGAGCTGGATAGCTGGATTGATAAATTCTGTCTGGATGCTGATGTTTTTGTACTCGTAGCAAATTCAGAGTCTACACTGATGAACACGGTGAGCATCTTGTATGTAACGTTTTATTTAGCTTGCTTTCGATTATACTTTTTTCAGCAGTGCCATTGTGTGTGTGTGTGTGTATATATAGTAACATAGCAATGTAAGTTTAAAGTATAAAAAAAAAATCAGGCCTTTTAAATTCAATCTTCCACGCTTCTTTTTCTGTGGCCTAACTGAAAAGATGTGAAAAAACACAGTGATCAGATATCTAGGATTTCAATATTCTATTTAATTGTCCCCCTATATTTGCCAAAGTATGTTTTTCTACTTTTCTGTCAGAACAAATGATGGAAATATGCAAAATCAGTTGCATTGGTGTAAATATGGCACATATTAAAATAAAAAAACTTGAGTGTTAGGGTGTAAAAAGGGATAAAGTGTATGTCTGTCTGTCTGACTGCCACGCGTAGAAGTCTCATCCACTTGGAGCTCCGGGTGTATAGGCAATGTTCGTCATATATTTAGCACTGGGTGTCTTAACTAACCTCTCCCAGGTGCTCTCGTGGGAGCAGAATTAGAGTATCGTGGAATCTCCCGACACAACCATATTGGCTGGCCTCGCAAATCCTCCCTTCCCCGCAAGCCTCCACCCCCCGGACCTGTTGGGGTCATCCCGGTCACCACTAGACAGAACAGGTCTGCTTTATCCTGGTAGAACGATGGCAGCACTACTCCATGAGCCAAAAGTTGGACTTCACAAAATGACTGACTCATGCAAGCAGCATGGTTGGAATCTGGAGCCCCGCTGCCCTGACTCAGCGACCCTAATCTCACAGATGCTGGCATGATTTGATGTTATATGCCAGCTTTTTTGTGCTAAACTTGACCATCGCTCCAACCTACTGCAGCCAATCCATGTTACTGCGAACGACCGGGGGAGCACAGAGCTGGAAGGCACCGGAGGCCATACCTGAATGTCCTTAACTCTGATCTCCCCACCAAGCTGCACCAAGGCAAAGACTCTGTTGGAGCATCCCACCACCACGGCACCCTCGCAGACAGAGGGCCCCTCCACATGGGAGAAGTCGTCCTAATAGACCGACCGCAAGATCCGAACATGAAGGCACCAACAGACAGGTCTGTGGTGCTGGGAACCCTTGGGCTCAAGAAACTGCCAAGTCCGATCTGGAACACGCATGGTTCACGAGGAGCATTTTGCTGATGCAGTAACAAGTATTCAGAGGACACAACAATATCTCAGACTGCAAATCCACCTGTGATTTCTAAGGGAATGTGCAAATAAAATCAAATACAAAAGCTTAACTTATAAGTACATAGCTTCCCAAGATTATCTCCCAGATGATAACCATACAGCATAGATATATTAAAGGTAGGTAGTTTAGGGATTCTGCTACTGTACCTAGAATAAAGGATAAAACCGTGCAATATTGTCTGAAAATAATCAACAATCTGGTGTTATGTTGCACTCGCAAGTTTCAGATTGTCAGAGGGTTTTATTGGTGCCACCCTCTATGTAATTAAGGGGTTTTCTCTTTTAGTGATATCTGTCGGACACCTGGGCCGGTATGGTGGTTCAGAAATCTCCAGCCAAAAGGATAATCCAGAATGGGTATTTATTCACATATGGGGTTAAAAAAATAGTAATGAGAAAATAAGGGTTTTGCTGCACTCACCTACACATGCTAAATTAGGGTGCTGCTGGGGGTATTAGGTGTTTTTAATAAAACTGAAAATTGTTCAGCATTAAAATGACTGTTTAGTAGATAAGAGAGTGCGCTGGATTTTCATTTTTACTGTAAAAAGAATAGTAACACATAAACAACAATTTATATAAAAAGGTACACCGGTCCTACGTGTTTCGTTCTTACAAAGAAGTTCCTCAGGGACCAACCTGCATAAAAAAGTGATAATAAACAAAACCCAAAAGGCAATCTAAAACACCATTCCCTCAAAGTTTATTGGTGGAATAATGGGTGTCTTCCCTCACTTGGCTCCCCATTCGTTGATGGATCTTCTCCACATGTGCTCGTCTTTAACGCTGATGAAAAGATTCTTTCGTAGTATACCGTAATTACTTCCATGTTCTGTGACGTATTTCAATTGCGTTCCGTTTTGCACTGATCCATCATGGCCTTGTGTTTCACGATGTGGGAAGATGTACAAAACGTCCTAGTCTCCCCCTAATGGTCGCCGGAGGGAACAACCCCAAAACCTTCTAAACGAGAGGACTGTTAAACACACGTTTTGTATAGCAAAAATTTTTTATCCTTCGTTTCAATTAACAATAATTAAAATGAACCAAAATAAAATGAAAAAAACGACATCCTTCTATAGCACCACAATGTGTTTAAACTCCAGATCTTCGTGCATAGAGTTTATTTATTCAATAAAAAAATTTTTAACAATGTAATTGTATATCAAATGTGTATAAATATGTTTGCTTTCATAACTTTTTATACAAAATGAATGGTGCTTTGCAGACATCTTTTGGTATGGCCTACGTATTGACTGCCGCAAGAACACTAGTAGATATATCACATAGTCCGAGCGACAGTCAATTCGTGTTTTAATGGAGAAGGGTTGACCAGTTACAAAATTAACAGATGTGATCTTGTTAGTATTCACCGAAGAACACTCCTTACATTGATTGCATCCCCTAAAACTTTTTTAATTTCTGTCTGAGTTTTCAAACGTCATTTTATGGCATAACTTGGTGTTGACATATTTTAAAGATATTTTTATTTTTCATATATACAATAGTTTGGGGGTAGATGACTTCCTAAAAATTGGATCTTCCAAGAGTATTGGCCAATATTTACATAAACCTTTCTTAATCTTATGATGATCAATATTATATTGAGTGACGAAAGCTTGTGTGAAACCTGTCCTACCTTTCTTTGTGCTTGGCTTATCCATCAGTAGTTCACTTCTATTTGTTCTTAGAAATCACAGGTGGATTTGCAGCCTCTGGGATATTGTTGTGTTCCCAGTGCATTACACATACCTATATTGTGCTTAATTTAACAACATGGCAGACAGCAGTAGTTACCTGCAAAGAATACAGAAAGCTAGATTACAAAAGTTTTCATGTAAGTAGATGTAAAAGTGTAGGCAGCACTTTGATAAAACTACTCCAATGTTTCTGTTGTCCTCATTTCCAGTGCTTTCCCTGACTGTGCATCGGCTGAACTGTCTTGTCTGACATGTTGTTATAGATGGTTAAATGCTGCAAATATTATAGCTCATACCTTTTTAAGTTCCTCTGGTTTGACAGAATAGTTAGAGAAAATTATATTTATTTAATATTGCTAACATTTCTTAATTTTCTTATTTTCTTCCCTTTTCAATTAGGAGAAACATTTTTTTCACAAAGTCAGTGAGCGATTGTCTAAACCAAACATTTTTATCCTGAATAATCGATGGGACGCATCTGCATCTGAACCAGAATACATGGAAGATGTAAGTCTGGATTTACAGTGAAATTCTCTAATTTCTTTAATTTTAAGTTTTAAAACATTTAATGAGCCCTTGGATTGAACATGTCAAATTTACACCTCTGACAACAAATAAGTGACACTATATAAGTGTGAGGTATTACATCTTGTATTTATAAGATCTAGTAATTACTTCTTTTTTTTTTTTCCTTCTATTAATTGTATTAAAAAAAAAATGAGAGAACTAACCTGCATAACCCACATCTATAGATAATAAAATCAAAACAATGAAACAGACTGAAGGAGGGACGCGTATATACACCAACAGTGCTGCTAAGTGGTCTGGCTTTTTTGCAACTAGACTTTTACTCTTCTGCTTACTCTACAGCCATTTGAAATAGGTTTTTTTGCACCACACGTGAACTTGTGATGACTCCTAAGTATCCACTCCCACCAATTTAGCTTATTGTAGTGCTTATGGTCCACAGAGTCTAGGTCCCCCCCCCTATTCTTGAGCATTTTGACATAAACTGTGTGTCAACCAGTTCTCTAAGCCTGTCCCATCTCTAAAGGCTATTTTATTTGTGTGGCCAGGTCCGTAAACAACACACAGAGCGATGTCAGTCATTTCTTGTGGATGAGCTGAAAGTTGTAGATTTGTCAGAGGCACAAAACCGCATCTTTTTTATTTCTGCCAAAGAAGTTCTAAATGCCAGGATGAACAAAGCACAAGGAAAGCCAGAGACAGGTGGGTACAGAGAATGCTCATGGTTCAATGTTGGTCCCAAAAATGGTGGTAAAGTTATCTAAAAAATAATATATATAATTTATTTTATAGCTGGGATTTTTGCTGAAGGATTTGACACCAGATTCTTGGAATTTCAGAAATTTGAAAAGCTATTTGAGGTACCAGACATCTTGATATTATAGTTGCAAATTGTTATTTTTATGTTGCATTTTAAATTGTAATTTATAAATGCAATCATTTTCTGTTTTTCTCTTATTTTACCTTTTATGTTTAAAAACTGATATTCTAGTAGTTCAGTACAGTGTAAATGCCAAGAGGTATTTCACCAAATTGTGAGCTTTCGTAAGCTGGCAAATGACTTGCAAATATTTGCCAAAATAGGTTAGAAGGAATTACAGCTCAGTAGATCTGGAAGATTTTTCCTCACTGCCATAGTTTGCTGATCTCAGAACGTTTGCTTAGTGAGTATGCCCCATTGCAAAATATTAGAGCTAAACTTTTATTCGAAAAATCCTTCTGCCAGACACACTGCAATTGTAAGTGACCATGACTGTCCTTGTAAGTGACCATGACTGTCTTCAAAGAATTCTGCTGCATGCCTGTAGATTATTGAACCCTTAATTAATGTAAAAAATATAATAAAAAAATTATCAGTTACATTTCCATTGCACACTGACAGTGTTTGTTAAATGCCGACTTTACTAAACGCCATCATAAGCCTTGTCTTCAATGGCATTTTAAAGCTTTGATCAGCAAACTGACCAAATGCTGCTCCATTGGAGACTGCACATTGGGTTATTCACAAAACTCCATATTGTTGGGAATTAATTATTAAACCAAATGTGAAGAGTGCTGATCATTTGGTGGTAATAATTAAGCGATCCGGTTTTATCTGGAGATATGTCCCTCTCTCCATCAATACTACTAATTTACTGTCCCATCTTTGTAATAAAAAAGCAGCTTGCCTCGCACTTAATATTGTGGTCACGTAACAATACAAATAGGAAATAATTTGGGGAAGGGGGCTTATGAATATTCCAGTGCATAGAGCTTGCTATCTCATTATTGAAAGTTTTCCAAAATTACTGATTTACTTTTGTCCTCATATCATTCCTCATAAGACAACAGTTCACATTGTTTGAACACAATTTAGTGATATGTAAAATGTAGACTGGCTTTGGTCTTGAGGACTGCCATGAGTCCAGAAATGTGCATGTAGGATGTTTCTCATGTATGTACCAATAACATAGCTGTGTTCTTGATTAACATGTGTATCTCCTTTGTGTTTCCTACTGCTTTAGTTACTAATCTGCTTTCTGCTTCAGCCCTGAGTGTCCTTTTTCCTTCCTAATTAAACTCTAATAGTGTGTGGTTTTCGTTTCGGACTCTTGCTAGTCATTGCTGACCTCTAGATTCATTTCTTTGGGGAACAATAACTTTTTTTTTTTATTTTTCTGTTTTTCCTCCTCAACATTTTAATTCATAACTTGAACTATCTGAAAACCTAATTATTTCTTTTATTTTCATTTTATGTTTGTCCCCCTCATTATTGATTTTGTGTGTGCTGGAAGCCTGTGTGGATTCTTGTATTTATTTGTAAATATTATTTACTACCAATATTGGGTGTAGTCAGTTCTGGAATCAGAATGGCAATGTGTAATGCTGTTAGAACAGCAGCAGTTTGTAAAAATCAGAGGGTTGGTCAGGCAGCCACAATGCGAAGTCCCAGCAGCCTGTTGTCACTTTTGTTCAAGTGTCTCATAAACACAACTTGGATTAAGCTCTCTCCTCCCAAGAGAAGTGGTCTGTGTGTAACGTAGTAGTGGTCAGATTATGGCTGCTGTCAATTTAAAGAGTAGTAATAGTCATCCTATATGTTGAGTGGAACTCCTCCTGGGGATAAATTATTATGGACAGGAATAGGGGTCTTTTGCTTAGAAGGGGATCTTCTTTTAGCTGCAAGCAAACCTGTACAACTATACTTCTGAAGTGAGCTTTAAAGGATCACTATAGGGGCAGGAACACAAACGTGTATTCTTGACCCTATAGTGTTAAAACCAACATCTAGCCCCCCCCACACCCCCCAAATCAATTACAATATTACTTACACATCACTTCATTTGGCAGCAGTCAATAGGGAGTATTCCATTTTCCTCAAAAGTGGAAGTGACATCCTCATTAATGTTGTTACCTTCCTAAACCAAAATATTTATTTAATGTATGCTCCAAAAAGTTATAGAATCCCTCAAGTATGAGAACAAAAGAAAACTGTAAAGCCGCTAGAAACCACCAATATATGAAATGATGTTGTGGTAAAATCGCTAAATAGTCTAACTAGAGATTGTATAGATCCCTTTCAGGTTACATCACTTGTCATCACTGGTCTGGTCTCACCCTCTCCTGGATTTGGATTACATACCAAAAATGCAGGACATTCCATTCCGTCCTTATGGTGTTAAAGCCCTTATAGAGGGATGGCATGGAACATCCTAATGTCGGGAAGAGGTTAAACTAAAAGATTAGACTTGGATATGTTAATGTGATATTTGCCCATCTAGTTATATTAAACTGGGATACCTTGTTATCCACAATTATTTTATAAGTAATGGGATTTGTCAACTCACATTTGGTTTACACTAATCAGTTTAGGCTCAAATTATTAACTGGGCTTATCATTGTAAGATATGAATGTTTCACAATGGCCACTTCATTATTGTGTTATTGTTTTAGAACTCTTTGACTCCTACTACTTTAAATAAAATGCTCATGTTCATTTTGCTATAAATCCTTTACTTTATTTGAGTATGATATAGAGAAAATGCAGTATTAATGTAAAATGCCGCAGAAGGTATTATATAAGGGCACAGGGCCAGACCAGGGAGCACGTGCTTAGCACCTCCATTGGGTGCAGAGTGCTCTAAGCACTCCCTCGTAGTCCTGTGTTTACTGCGGTGTGCCAGACTGTGATGGAGCGATTACCGTGGTTTGCACTCAGTGGCGGTGCAAACCACAGGCTCCTACAAAAGGGTAGACCGGTTTAAACTCTGCACATACAGACTCGCGGCATCATGGCCACTTCTTATCAGTGAAGTTGTCATGGTGCTTGAAGTAACCCTTTGAGTGAATAAATCCGTTTCAGTTAACTATTCTGCAAGTTCTTGTCAGACATTAACCATGAAACATGCAGCGTGTATTTACTGGTGGTTATACAACCTACACAGGCTGAACTTCTTTTGATCAAATCTGCACATTACTGCTGTAGAGTGTGGCACAGATCTGCTGCTACATTGTGCCATATACCATATTTTGTTTGGTCATGCCTTTTCCCCTTTTGAGTTGTGAGTGCCAATGGTAGCAGCAGCACATATTTTTCTTCCTTGGGTGCTAGTTACCTCTTATATTCCTGACTATGTTTCAATGGAATCACAGTAATGTGTTGTGACTTGGGCTTCACAGGAATGTATCTCGCAGTCAGCAGTGAAAACAAAGTTTGAGCAGCACACTATCAGAGCTAAACAAATAACAGATACCGTGAAAGCTATAATGGATTCTATTAACGTGAGGTCAGCTGACAAAAGGTAGGACCATGCAATTTTTTAAGTATTTGTCCTTTAAGCTTTGGTAGCACAGATATATATGTATCTTTTTATGTAATGACCCTGCTATCAATGTTTGACCCCATTGATCTGAATGTTTTATATGTTTCTGCATCTTGCAGAATGTGTTAAAAGATTTGCTTTTTCCAACAGACTGCAAACTTTGAAGCCATCCCCAAATTTAAACACTTTCTGCAGTACGCATAAGGTGGTTTCTCTGTAATGAGCAATTCAGTGCTAAGATCTATATTTGGATTAATCCTCCAAAACACTGGTTGCTCAACTTTGTTCTTATTAATAATCTCCACCAATTCGTCTATCCACACATTATTTTTATTTTGTCGTTCTATAGACATACAGGGTCTTTAGCTAAAGTGAATTTCAAATTTAAGGCCAGAGCAGCCAAACTAAAAGAATAGTTGACTTTTTGACCTATTTTGACCTTAAATTTGAAATCCACTTTGAATTCTCACTTTAGTGAAGATGCTTGATACTGGCAGTTTGCTTTCATTGTTCTCAAAGCTGGCACTGATCTCTGATTTTTCTTTTTCTTTCCTTTATTTTTGCTTTCAGAATTCATTCCATAGAAGACCGAGAGTACCAGATAGACAGGTTGGAGTTTGTGCAGGGTCAAATGGCAATACAAGCTGAGGATATCAAGAGACGCATATTGCATATTGCAGAGGAAGTCAATGCACAGGTGCAAAAATTGAATTATTTTACAATGCTGCTATGATTTGTGTGTTTTTTTTTTTTTAATTTTTATCATTGTTACGCCAGTTCATGGGATTGGACTGTAGTCCCCAAATGAGAAAAATCATGTGACCTAAAATCTAACATTGGGCCCCCTTAACTATGCTGTGTGTTATTGAGTTAAAATAGCCACCGAGCAGCTATGATTATAAAATAGCCCCTTGTTTTTTTTCTCTTTGTTGAAATCACTACTGTGCGTTAGAATGCAGTTCTTTTGATGGGACACTCCACAGTGGACAGTTGCATTTTTTTATTTTTTTTGTCTTCCCATAATCTAAATAATATATGAACACAGATATCGTTGTGTAATAAGCTAAATAATAAAAATGAATGCAAGCGAAGGGTAAATGCATAAAAAAAAATAAAAAAATGTAACACTTGTAAAAATGTGTAATGTATTTTTGTATTCTATGTTATTGGAGTGTTGTTCAAATGCTAGTATGGTCGCCCTACTTGGAGCAGATTGCACGTAACAATAGTACAAATATTTATCTTGTGTAATATCCATGTATTCGTGCAGGTTTCTACTGCCATGAAGGAGGAGATCTGTCACCTTTCTCTTCTGGTTGACAAGTTCAGTGAAGACTTCCACCCATCTCCACAAGTTCTAAAGCACTATAAAAACGTAAGCTCAAATCTTATCCTTCTGCTAGTAATAATATACACATCCTGAAAATAATTAAATAAAAATTAAGTCTTTTAAAAATTGCAGCTGCATGATAGAAACCCACATAATAATTACTGATCAGAGTTATTTAAAGTAAAACATTCCTGTTTCTTTTCTCTCCTCATAAAAGACATTATTTCTCAGACAAACTGACAAAACAATAAATCTTGCATCTATCCCTAGGGACCTCAACTTGCCAACACTCTTGAACTGTGGGCAGTAATATCATTAGATTGTTATTTATCTGCTATAGAATAAGCATGTATAGTCATAGGCTTATGCCAGTAATTACTGACGTCTTTTATCCAGTTGAATAAACAAGAAATCTGTCTTGTATGTAGCCTTGGTAAAGTCCAGGCTCTTAATGAGAGCCAACCACATCACAATTTTGTAGATGTTGGGCAAACAGAAGGAATATAGTTTTGTTAATCTCACTCCCGCTATGCTGAAGGGGTTAAAACCCCTTCAGCCACTTACCTTTCTCCAGCGCCGGCATCCCTCGGCGCTGGGGAACTATCCTCCTCCTGCCGACGTCAGATCCGAATGCGCGGCAATAGCCGCGCACGTGCATTCAAACCGCCCATAGGAAAGCATTACTCATTGCTTTCCTATGGACGTCAGCATCTTCTCACTGTGATTTTTCACAGTGAGAATAGCGGAAGCGCCTCTAGCGGCTGTCAGTGAGATAGCCACTAGAGGCTGGATTAACCCTAGTGTAAACACAGCAGTTTCTCTGAAACTGGTATGTTTACAGCTGCAGGGTTAACACTAGAGGGACCTGGCACCCAGACCACTTCATTGAGCTGAAGTGGTGTGGGTGCCTATAGTGGTCCTTTAAGCATTTTAGGGGTATCCCCCATTCTCAATGGTTTTTTTAAATCTTTTAACGAAGGCTCTGCCCTGTGTTCATTTTTATTGTATGTAGTTCCTATGTAGTCGTGTTTTTCATAGATAATAAGCATTTTTCTATTGGAAAGCTCACACTTGCGGTGTGGTAGGTATTTCAAAATGAATATGTACAAAATATGCAAAACTTGGGGGGCGTGGCCTGACGCCGGAGCTGAACGGTCGCATGTAGGAGCAGCTCCCGGCGCAGATTCCAAAACGAGCACACAACAACCGGAATAATAAGCGGCACATACCCGGGTCACCTGGGGAAGGCACACAACATGTCCCAGCGCCCAAAAAACAAACTTGGGAAGGCAGAGCGTGCCTCCTTTTTCGGCACGAAACTCGCGGCATCCAAGCAGCGCGAGGGAGCGGAGACTGCGCAAGATGGCGGCGACTTCGGACCGCGGGAAAACTCCCCCTCACCCAAATCATCCCCCACACGGCAGACAGAAGACCAGCCACCTACGATGGGAGGTATCCGTGCCCTAATGTCTGAATTTTCAGATAATATACAGAAAAGCATACAGCAAATTCAGGCTCTAACTGCTGATTTACAGAGAGACATACATGAAATAGGAAACCGCACAGCTCAAGTGGAGTCCAAAATGGACGAACATGCAGAAGCACATAACCGCTTAGCAGACAAAGTCCAGGAATTGGACGACATTCTGGAAGTACACAGGCTAAAGCTAGCTGACATGGAGGATAGGGCAAGGCGGAACAATCTGCGGTTCAGAGGAATCCCAGAAACAATTACAAACGCCAAGCTCCAACATTATCTCTCAAAACTGCTCCAGAGCCTAGTACCAGAAATACACCCGGATCAACTATTAATCGACAGGGTGCACAGGCTGCGCAGACCGAAACACCTGCCGCAAACTGCAGAGAGAGATGTAATCGCTAGAATACACTTCTTCCACGCTAAAGATAAGATCATGCGGGCTAGCAGAAACCCAGGTATGCCGAACGAATACAACTCCATCAAAATCGTCGCGGATTTATCAGCGGACACTCTCCAATTCAGGAAATCAATGGCGCCGATCACCTCCACCCTGCGGGAGCATGACCTGAATTACAGATGGGGATTCCCTGCCAAACTTCTGATCTCCCACCAAGGGGCCATACACGCCATCACGACCCTGAAGCAAGGCGTCCAGAAACTAAGAGATTGGGGGCTTCCCCAACCGGCGACAGAACCAACTAAAACAAAAGTGCCCAAGATGTCACTGGAATGGACTGTCAAACGAAAGACTGCCCTTCCCCTGGAACACGCGTAACTATTCCATAACCACTGTGCAAGTTAAAATGCTAGAACTTTCAAGTTACAGGGCTATAGCTTAATGCTTACTTAGCCAAAATGTATTTGTTAATTATTGTTATACTTCAACCTACCTGACCTGCAACAAGCAGCAGTACTTGCTGGTTAGAATGCGGCGCTGCCCAATAAGCTTTTCTACTATTCCCCCACGGGGGCGCAGGCAAGATAACGGCACATACTAGCCATGACGCCATCCTATAGCGAGGCTGTGTTTAGAAGTTTATTGAGACTATCCCACTGTGAAGGCACATTTTAAAACATTGATGTCACCTTATAGCGAGGCTGTGTTTAGAAAATTATTAAGATCAGTTTAATGTTGTTCATGACATGTTAGTTTTGCAATTTGATGTTCAAATGCTCTTTTGGTTTCAGGTGGAGGCTTACTATGTGTAAAAACCTTATCACCACTACCCCCACTAGACAGGCCTATCTATTAGGCGAGTCTCGAGGCTCCACTCCTCGGAGCCAAATTGGGTGTGTCACCCACCAGTTTTTCCAGTTTTACCCCACCCACTTCCACCCTACCCATTCTCTCCCCCAGTCACGAACACAAAGTATGGCACAGCAGAACCGCCGCAGGCTTACCAAACTGACATACTGCAATGACCCAGCAGCACCAGTAGTAACCAAGCTCACGCTCCATAGCATCCCCTCCCTATATATACAACCATGGTTAAACTAATAACGTATAATGTAAAAGGATTGAACTCCCCGGGTAAACGCAGGCTACTACTGCAAGATCTGAAAAACGAGGACATAGACATCGCGTGTATCCAGGAAACACACTTCACCAACACCCGTACCCCTGCACTCTACACAAAAATTTATCCAACACAATACCACGCTACTTCTGATAAAAAGACGAAGGGAGTCTCTATTCTCATACATAAATCCATAGCATTTCAAGAAAAAGCAGTCTCTATAGACCCCCAGGGAAGATATGTAATACTAGTGGGTCTCTTCAATAATGTCCAATATACATTGGCCTCTGTATATTTCCCCAACACTGGCTCAGAACAATTCCTCAGACTCATCCTCAAAGAGATAGATAAGGTGAGACAGGGGGGATTGTTGATGTGCGGGGATTTTAACTTTATAATATCCCCGGACTTAGACTCCACAGCACTCCCAAGAGGCACCAGACGAGCAAATATAGTATCCACAGGCAAAAAACTGTCTAGACTGCTCACATTACATAACCTGTATGATAGCTGGAGAATACTCCACCCAAGAGAACGGGATTACTCCTTCCACTCCAAAGTACATAGCACCTACACCCGCATAGACACCTACTACGTAGACCAATCTACATTACCACAAGTAGCCAAATGTACAATGGGAGACATTACGTGGTCTGACCACGGCCCGGTGTCCCTGGATCTATATGATAAATATCAGTTCAAAGGTAGAGGGAACTGGAGACTAAACGAGTCCCTACTACAAGACAGTAACTTCGTGGAACAAATAAAGAATGACCTTAACAATTACTTTCAGACAAACTCAGGTGGGGAAACATCAGCCTCGACCATCTGGTCGGCCCATAAGGTCGTTGTTCGCGGTTTATTTATTAGACAATCCTCATATCTTAAAAAGCATAGACAAGCGACCTTAATGGAATACCAACGGCAATTAACACAATTAACTACCCAAAATAAGGGTGCCCCTTCTCGAGCCCTAGCACTACAAATCCAAAATCTGCTAGATAAAATCACCGAATTACGAGCGGTCAAAACCTCATACATGTTACACAAGCTCAAAGCGACCCACTACCACCATAGCGGGAAAGCCACCAAACTCCTAGCTAACAGGCTGAGAGCAAAGCTGGCAGCCACCAAAATAGCGCATATTCAAGACCCAGAAGGTAACAAAATACAAAACCCAATGGATATCACTCAGGAGTTCGCCAACTATTACTCCAGCCTCTATAATTTGGGCGAAAGACCAGATACCCCCCCCATCCAGGACAGTAACATCACGGAGTTTCTAACCCGTCTACCCCTCCCCAAAATAAACCACCACCAAATAGAACAATTACTCCAACCTATTACTCTATCAGAAGTACTCCAAACAATAAGGAACCTCCCCCCAGGAAAAACCCCAGGAGCAGACGGCCTACCAAACCTGTATTATAAAACTTTTGCAGACATATTAGGCCCTAAACTTGTCCAAATATTCCAAGCAGCTTCTGACTCGGGAGAACTCCCTCCTGAGATGCTACTAGCAACTATAGTTACCCTGCCAAAACCTGGGAAACCCCCGGACCAATGTAAAAATTTTAGACCTATCTCCTTATTAAATACAGACGCTAAGATATACGCAAAAATCCTGGCCTCCAGACTGGGTAAAATCCTGCCCTCAATCATAGACGATGACCAAACAGGGTTCGTGATGGGGAGACAGGGGTTAGACAATACACGAAAACTGTCCCTAATTATGGAAAAATTGAGAAGATCAGGCCAAGGTGGGCTACTGTTAGCTCTGGACGCTGAAAAAGCGTTTGACCGCCTAGGTTGGTCCTTCTTGAAACAAGTCTTATCGACATTTGGATTCCCACAACAGTTCATTCAACAAGTATTCGCCCTATATTCACACCCAAGGGCTCAGGTACTACAAGCAGGCTTCAAATCAGACCCCTTTCGCATTACAAACGGCACCCGACAGGGATGCCCTCTGTCCCCCCTGTTGTACGTACTGGCCCTGGAGCCCTTACTAATAGCCATTAGATCCCATCCAGACATTGAAGGCGTAAATTGGCACGGCCGCCAAATCAAGATTAGTGCATTTGCGGATGATATCCTTCTATATGTTTCCCATCCTGTTACCTCCCTACCACACATAATGCACCTTATCGAGGAATATGGTGGTCTCTCATACTACTCCTTAAACACTTCCAAAACACAAGCATTAGGGTTACGCCTAGATCCCCCAGCCCTCACACAGCTACGTAAAACCTACCAATTCGAATGGCGCACGAACGATATTAAATACCTAGGCCTGACGTTCACCAAAAAAGCTTCCGACATGTTCCCAACTAACTACACCAAAGTATGGAATGAGTGCCTGACCTTGATAAGGGGCTGGGAAAAATTGTTCCTTACTTGGACGGAACGAATTGTGGCTATTAAAATGTCGGTACTACCGAAACTACAATATGTGTTTCGGAACCTCCCGTTAAAGGTACCACAATCTTACTTTAAAACCATACAATCGAAGCTACTGCAGTTTACCTGGGGAGCAAAACGGGCGAGAATTTCTTGCAAACTACTATCCGCACCAGTGAAACACGGGGGCATGGCGTTTCCAAATGTAAAAGCCTACTATCAGGCGGCAGCCTTAACCCCTCTATTAACACATTTGGTGAGGAACAACCAACCACAATGGGTACACCTAGAGAACCTAGCTGTTAAGCCCTTTGCAATCCACATCCTGACATGGCTGCACAAATCAAACAGACCAACTACACCGTTACTACCATTACAAGTACAACTAGCGTTACAGATTTGGGACACGCATAGGAGGAAGTTTGAGACAGCCAACCCCCTCTCCATGGCAACTCCCATAGAAGCCATAACATACTGCATCCCAACATTTCACGCAATGCCGTGGAAGGACAAGGGAATCTCACACCTAGCTCAGGTCTTTGAATCAGGCAAGCTGATGGGTTTTGACCGTCTTAACACGATCTTTAACCTGCCACACACATCAAGCTATTCATACATCCAACTTAAATCCTTTCTACATACACGTAATAAAGATAGTAGAAATGAGACTACAATTGCCAGTGCGCTATCGACCTGGGAACAAACAGGCATCACAGGCAAACTACCCCAGACCTTCAAACCCTTATCTGGCTGCTACAGACTTATTCTGCCATACCAATCCCTTTCTGACTCCACTCCAGCACACCAATGGGAAATGGACCTCCAAACTCCCATCACTGAGAAACAGTGGTCTTCTATCACATCTTCCACTAGAAAATTGATCAAATCTGCTCCCCTTATAGAACAACACCAGAAAACAATATATCGGTGGTATATGGTGCCGCTACGTATACACAAACTGTATCCCACTGCGTCTCCGACGTGTTGGAGATGCAAACAAGAGAAAGGCTCGGTCCTCCACATTTGGTGGAAATGTCCACGCCTAATCAGGTATTGGGAAGACACAGGAAAAATCATTGCAGATACTACCACCATCCACCTACCCTTTGACCCTAAGACCTTTTTACTGTTAGATATACCCAGAGAAACACCCACACAAGCGAGAAAATTAATGTACCACGTCCTGCTAACCGCACAAAAACTGATCGCACGACTCTGGAAAACAACAGACACCCCTAGCATTCCTGCCCTCATCCAAGACATAGACAAGCAAGCTATTTACGAAACAAGCTTTTCCAAAGCGCAGAATAGCACCAAATGTAGTGGTAGCACATGGGAACAGTGGCGAGCTTGGAGAAACGCTAACGCACAACACGTACCCACCAATCACAACTTAAAATAACAACTCAACTAACCACAAAAGCTAAACGCAGGTAGACTGGGGGTGGAAATCGCCTCAAGAATGTGGGGAACACTATTACGTCTGAGAGTAGTATACAGCAGACTGGGACCTAGGAATGGGTAGTAAGCCTAGATAGTCGGATCATTTGTACTGTGATGCATAAAGAGATCAACCGATTACTGTGCGCTGTTGAGCCGCCTCAAAGGCCTGCAAATGTCAACTGTCAATTGTCAATTTTTATATATTCCTAACCGACATAGGATTCGATGTAAAGTGACTGTACCCCCCCCCCTTTTTCCCACCTCCCTTCTCTTTTTCTGTACCCAACCCCACCCACCCCTCGTTTTTTTTGATGTGAAAACCAATAAAATACAAATTTCAACAAAAAAAAATATGCAAAACTTGTTTCTTGATATTGCAGTAGAGGTTTTCCAGGAGATCCTCATTTATCAGCTGTTCATTTCATTGCCCCTTTTATGTATCTCAGAATTTTCCAATTGCACCCCATATTAATGTATTCTACATTCCACTTGTAGCATTTCTTACATCTTAGTTTTGGTAAAGTTTATTGCTTCATTTAAACTGGACTTCTGTTGACTCTTAGGAACTGAATGCACATATAGAGAAAGGCATGGGCCGAAAACTAGCTGATCGTTGCTCCAGTGCAGTGAATTCATCCATACAGAACGCACAAGAAGACATAATAGGTAAGCTTTGTATATAATGCTTTGTATGCGTGTGTCTATACACATGTATATTCACATAGCCACTTTTTTTTAATTTTTTTATTACATTGATGTAATTTGTTTTCTAAATTTATTTTGTGTGTGACTTTATTTACTTCTTGTACATATTCTATATATGTTCAATGTTGCAAACAAGATCCTTTTTAGTATACACTCTATTGGGACACCTGACCATTACACCAAACGGCACTTTTATGACATTGCATTCTGGATACATATACAGGGATGAAAGTTCTTATTGTAAAGGTGGCATCCTGTCACAGTACCATCTTCAACTCACGGAGTTCTAAAGAATGACTAATTTTTTCACAAATTTTTATAAATGCAGACTGCATGGCTAGCTGCTTGATTTTATTCACCTGTGGCAATACCTGTGATTGAAACACCTGAATTAATTAATTAAGAGGTGTGTCCCAATACTTTTGTCTAAAAGTGTATATTGCCAAATAACCTTGTGCATGTTTTGTTTGACAGAAAAGCTGAAGCCTTTGCTGCCCTCCAGTGTTGAAAAAGAAATTTACACATCCTTACCATGTAGAAAGTTTGATCTCAGCTACAATCTAAACTGTGATAAGTTGTGCGCGGATTTCCAAGAAGACATTGCCTTTCGCTTTTCCTTTGGCTGGACATCACTTGTTAATCGATATCTGGGGGAAAAGAATGCCCGCCTCTTATTGGCATTTGCAGAACCAACATTACAGGTAGTCACTTTATCCTAACTAGATCTATAATCATGCAATGATCTAACTTCTCCTCATCTAATTATCTCTCCACCTTCGCATTCAGTATCAAGTAAGTAGAAAACTGCAGGATAGTAGGGGCTATCATTTCTTAACTTTTCAATAAGTTGTAATTTCTGCACAGTCTTTGTACAACTCGACCAATAGTGAACTTGCCAAGCATTAACCAAGTTATTAATGAGGGTGTGGAAAAAAAAAACACAACTATTTATCTTTTTCAAGGTACCTCGGCCAGTCACTACCCCTTCTGCAAATGGTATGCCTGCTATGTCACCACAGTCTGCAACCCAGGAGGAGCTCATGTTCTCATTAATGTCTGGCTTGGCATCACTAACGTCAAGGGGGTCCGTGGGAGTCATTATAGTAGGAGGAGTGGTAAGTACTGAAAAAATAAAATACTTAAAAGCTCCAGCTGACTTTTTCTGTTTGTGATGTAAAGTTATTTAAAATTGAATAACATATTGGATACTTTGGCAGAAATTTTCTTCATATTACAAAAAAATACCATCCTTTATAATCTCTCTTGTGGAAATACAACCTGGTTAGCAGTTTTGAGCCTTTAGTTCTTCCCTGTCCAAGTACTTTAAAAGAGGAAGGACTTTTTGCTTGAACTTTGGAAAAGTCGTTGAATTAAATCCAAATTCTTGTGATGGCATTCTTACTTGTTTTCTACCCAAACCATCTTAAATATTATATAGAATATCTTAAGGATACAAGTCTAAAGTGTTAATGTAGATTAAAGTGTGCCCACAATTATGTGATACTTTGTAATGGTATGTATGAAAGCCTTAGATTAGATGTGCCTGTGTTAAAATCCATTGTCTTGTCTTGTTTACATTTTGAAATTTCTGTTCCTTTACAACAGTGCACCCCTAAACAATAACATATTGTATTAAAGGCAGTGCAGAATATTGTAATATGCCAACATTGTCTATTGTAGAAGTCCCAGGAAAACCAGCTATTTGCATTTTTAGGCATATGTGTTGTTGATGTGTTATTAGTAAAGTCTAATATTTTTAATTTCCTTGGATATTTTTACAGATTTGGAGAGCTGTGGGCTGGAGGCTGATAGCCGGTTGTTTATTGGGTTACGGTGGATTATACTTGTATGAGAGGCTAACGTGGAGCACAAGAGCAAAGGAAAGAACATTCAAACAGCAGTTTGTAAACTATGCTGCCAAAAAACTGCACATGATTGTAAGCATCACGAGTGCAAACTGCAGTCACCAAGTTCAAAAGTAAGTGATTTCAGCTGGGGTCTATATTGTTTTTTAACATGAACCTTGGTAGATGCTTAGACGCTTGGATGTTGAAATTTGTAAATTTTCTTCACATATGTTTATGTTCTGTGCAGAGAGCTGGAAAACACTTTTATCCATTTATGTCAGCAAGTTGATATCACAGAAAGAGAACTCATCAAGTCAATCAATAACCTAACTGATGAAATAAAACAGCTGGAAGGGATCCAGAGCAACTCCAAGGTTTTAAGGTATGGAAGCTGTGTAAAATGTTATACAATATTGATGGTAACAAGATGTTAGGTGCTGTTTTATTCATGTAATTGTTTACAAACCCCATGCTTTAGCTCAGGATGTATGTGTTTTGGATGGGTTTTATGTTAGTTTGTTTTGGGTTGGAGGAGGTGTGTGGATTTGTGTTTTTATATTTTGTTTTATTTTTATCTATGGTTATTTAAGGGTAGAGATAGTGGGTATTTCTCTTAAGCCTTTGTGCAGTGGTATGTACCCACACACTTACAACTTTTTATTTCTGAATTCTGAACTAAAGAGGGTTGAGAGATTTTTGTGCTATCTTTCCGTTAGTCCCATGGACTCTTCCTTTAAAAAATAAAATAAAAAAATGAATCAAAAATATTACACAAAGGGAATCTGTTAGGAAAGTGTTGTGACAAACCTCCTTCAGGTCTCAATGGAAATCCTTAAAGTAACTTTGCTTGTATGCTAGTAAATCTTATAGATTGTTTTTTTTTTTTGTTTTTTTTTTTATAATTGTTTTAATATTTTTATTCTGCAGAAATAAAGCAACACACCTCGAAGCTGAACTAGACCAGTTCATCAAGACATTCCTTCACCAGAGCAAGTAAAGTCACAGTATGCAGTGGCTGATGCCCAGCCAAGTTGGGAACATGACTTGAAGAGCTAAGGGGATACTGAACGTATGCAAACTCGTTATCCTTGTTAATATCTTCCTTTTGTTAGTCTGCTCCAAACACAGGGAACTATACACAGTGGAATAATCTAGGCTTTTGGAACTGCAAGACATGCAGTTTGAGAAAATGGTACAATATGGAAAGTACTGGAATATCGAATGGACTGAACTTTAAGACTGTGTATGAAGTGCACATAAAGGTACAACATATAACAGTTACTAGTTTTGGCAGCCATTGATCTTCGTATCAAAGATCCAGTATGGTTATTGATATCAACTGAATTTTTTTTTCGACCTAGATTAATATGAATGTAGCTGACCTATAAAAGTTCTTAAAGTCCAGTCATTCACGCAAGTTGATACCATTATATAAATAGTTTTACTTTATTTTCAAAGGAGACTTTTATTAATGTTTCTCTTTTTTTTTTTTTCTTTTTTTTTTTTACACAGTTGCTCTTTTATTTGAATATCGTTTCCACATACACCATTGTACTAAAATGTGATCCAAAGTTCAGAAATAGTATTATTTACAAAATAATGTATTTATTTCAATGCACACAATATTATCAATTGCCTAATGC